CTACAGCCAAAAGTTTCTCAATAATGGGGTTTAGTCTCTGCCTAGCTTCTTTCTTAAGGTAACACTGTCTTCTATGAGGGTATAGATTAGGGGCCTTCAGCTGAATGACTGCTGGAGTGAGTGGCCTTGACAGCCTCCCCAGGGTGCTGTCATACCACCCTGGGGGATCAACTCCCAGCAGACATCAGGCCCCACAGGGTCAGGCTGGCCGGGTCCCTAGCAACCAGGACGAGTTGCCAGGGGTTTGACTGTCAGAGCAGCCCCGAGGAGAAAGAGTGTATCTCCTCCAGTGATGGGTGTGGAGCATCTCAGTATCACCAAAAAGGCTGCTTGGAGAAGGAAATCTTCTAACTGGCAGTTCAGAGTAGGGTAAAGCAAGCTGACTAAGTCCTCCCAGGCCCCCAAGCAATTCTGGACAGGCATGAAAGCTCACCCCAATAGTTAGAAACTGGAATTGAATAAGACACCTCAGCATTACAGAGAAGTGGAATTTATGAGCCCCCTACTGCTACAGTCCCTGGAGGCTCCTGTTAAGACAATGGGGATGCGGAAGCCAGGCGGGGTGGTGGCCATGACCTTAGCCCTCTCTGGGAACAAGGTAGTCCTCCCCCAGTGCCAGGGCTCTTCCGTGTCTGACAGCCCCAACGAGGCCTGGTGGCTTTCGAGGCCATGCCTTTGCCTGGTGCGCCGTCTCTGACTTGTTTCCATCGCTGTGGATTACCTCAGTTTCCCTTAGTGCTGCAGGCCTTATCCTGAGCCTTAGCTTTGGGCGACCATGGCTTCAGCCTGCCTCTTTTCCTCTTCATGATCATCTGTCCTCTGCTCCAACATGGTTATTAGAGACTGAGCATCCCACATCCACCAAATGACTTATCCCAGCTTGTGAGGCCTGTTGGAGTTTCTGGAGCTTCCTCCTAATATCTGGAGCTGACTGACTAACAAAATACTGTCCTAGGATAATATGACCTTCTCTGGACTCCAGGTCTAAATTAGTGTATTTACAAAGTGCCTCTTTAAGCCGAAGTTGGAAAGCAGCTGGATTTCCATCTGATTAGATGACTGATTAGACCTGAACTGACTGTAGGTTAAAGGCCTGGGCATTCCCTGATAACCTCCCTCCAGCTTTTCCAGCCCATGTTATAGTATCGCTCTGGCCCCTCCTAGGGTACAAACAATGCATAAGTGGCCATCAGCAGGCCAAGCTGTGAAGTCAGGACCCAGAAGAAAACAGTCGCCCCAGCCACCTCTGCTACAGCTGCTGGTGTGGGAACTGCACATTTAACACAACCACAAGCTTTTCTTTCTGTTTTCCAGAACAAACTATTTGCTTAATGCTTGAACATTTTAATATATGTGAGTTTTGTGTGTTTTGTTTTTGTTTTCTGCAGACTGAACCCGTGGCCTTTGAACTGAGCCCTTTTTATTTTTATTTTTTATTTATTTATTTATTTTTTGATACCGGGGATTGAACTTGGGACCTTACGCTTGTGAGGCAGGCGGTGGAACCACTGAGCTAAGTCCCTGGCCCTCCAGCCCTTTTTTTTTTTTAAATATGAGTCTGGGTCTTGCTAAGATGCTAAATTGCCCAGCCTGAGTTTGAATTTGCAGTCCTCCGCCCTCAGCCTCTCAGAGTGGTGGTATTACAGGACTGCACCACCACATCCGGCCTGACAATATACGTAAGCTTAACCTCAATCAAAAACAGTAAACAAAAAATTACTGTATTTCATAGGGCTGGCAGAATGGATACTTCAGAAATAGTACTCAGAATCAAAGGAAAAAGAAGGCAGAAAAGCCACGCTGCTCGGAGCTTGGGGCCTGGAGGGCTGAGCTGGATGCCACCTTAGAAAGGGTCCCTGATCGTCAGAGCCAGGTGTGATGGCCTAATAAGAAGGGAAAGAGAATTACTTGGGAATGAGGAGTGGCTGGAGGAAGCCGAGATGATGATGCTGGGAACAAAGAACACAGAGTGTTTTCAAACAGTGAATGGCTCTCTGTAGAAAGGGAATTAGACTGTTTCTTTGTAGCTCTAAAACAGTAATTCTCAAATCTTAGCTCCCTCTGAATCCCTGGAGGGCGTTAAAACACAAATTACTGAGCCTCACTCCCAGAATTTCTGACTCAGCAGGTCTTGGGCAAGACCTAGAATCTGCACATCTAACAAGCTCTCAGCATAGGCTTTTGCTGTGGTCCAGGGAGGCACTTGGCTAGCCTCTGCCTCGGTGTGTGAAAAGCAGGACAGCTGTTTGTGTTGTTGCTACTAATAACAATAATGAGAAGTGATGGTGAACAGCACGTGCCAGTTCCTATTATGCTTGCTGTTGACACCCCGAGGCTCAGTTTCCCTCGGGACTCACCATAGGCCTCAAGCGTGCTTGGGCTGAGGCTGAGTGGCTCCCTGCAGGGATGCTGGCAGTGGTGTTCTCTTTGTGAGTGGGAGATGGCACTAGAAAATTTCAGAGAATCCTTTGGACTCTCAGAGGCTGGCTTCAGCAGGCACTTTAAGCAGTAGCACACATTCAGCACCAGGTAAATGCCAGCTGCTATGCACTGTCTCCACGAAGTATATGCAGCACTATCTAACTCGAAGTCGCTTCTGGGTCACCTCACTGCCCTCTGTTCCTCCTGTCTTCCTTGGTGCCTGCAATGACCACTCCCCTCACCTCCCAGCAGGCCACGAATCCCGAGTTCATCCAGGTATTTGGTAGAGGAGGCTCACTGCACACACACCCACTGCTTCTCTGTTTGTGTTCATGTGTGGTCCAGTGCTCAGGATATCCAGGTACATACAGTCCTCAGCACCAAGCTGTCTGCCGCCTGCCCCATGCCAATCTCATGCAGAACCTGCCGATCCACTCTCCACACGCTGACCAGCAGGGCAGTAACGTGGTGGCTGAGAAGACAAAATCTGGAGATGGGGGAAGGGGTGCCCTCACATCCCAGAATGGCCTGAGAAACTGTGCTTGATGGCCTTGAACTGAGATGTCTCTCTTCCTGCTCCCGCTTGGCCTCCTCTGAGTATGGGCTCAAAGACCACAGTGCCCTGGGGATGGGAGGCAAGCCTGTGGTCTCCTAGAGGATGCTGCCAACCAAGATAACTGCCCACCCCCCAGTGACTCCCCTCTAGGCTAGAGATAATCAGATCTTTTCTCTTGTACATTAAAAAAATTTAATGTTTTCAATTCTAACAGAAACAATAGGAAAAACAAAATGTACAGCCTGGGTTTGTACACTAAGAAGTTCCTGCAGCTGTGATACCCATGTGTATTTCTGGCATGGAGCTTACCCTGGACAGTGGGAGACCAGCCGTAGGTCTACTGCTTATCAACTTCCACGTGTAAGCTCAGGATTTCAGGGTAGTGCAGCTGCAGTTTCTCACCAATGAGCCAGAAATCTGGGTACCCAGCAGTGGACAAACTCCAGGGTCTTTGCCTTGGAAAAGGGGCGGTAGACAGATACTGAGCCCTGGGGCATGTTGGGAGTTAGGAAGCTCAATAGGCCTGTTGCCAGTAGCTGGAGAACCCCTCACTTCCAGGGATCCTTTCCTCCCGGGGATTCAGCTATTCTGCCTTTAGGGGTCTCAGATTGCTTTCCAGAGCTTGTGACAGCTGGGGACAAGTCCCTTCCTATTTAAAAAGAGGGAAATTGGTGAGTAGCTAAGGGATCATCCAAGGTAGTTTTGCTTTGTTTTGCTTTTACAGTGCTGGGGTGGGACCCAGGGCCTTGTGCTCATTAAACCGTTAAGCGGTGCTCTCCTCCTGAACTATATCAGCAGCCCCCATCCCAGGACTGCAAATGCCAACTAAGAACCCAGGGCCCTTAGCATGCCAGGCAGGCCCTCTCCCACTGAGCTACAGCCCTAGCCCCAAGAACAGACATCTGAATGCACAGCAGGAAGGAAAACCAGGGCAGCCTCTGCCCTTGGGGAACTTGTTTTAATTGGGAGATAAGATATGTAAATGTAAAGCCAGAAGTAATTGTAAAGGTTCTGTGCAAATAATCCCTGTTCACCGGCTATTTACCCAGGACTTGCTGTTGGTTGTTCTGGTTCTGTGATGTGGGGCAGTCTCACTGGAACAGTGATAAACAGTCTAGGTGTAGCTGGAGGCAGGGTGGTAGGAGGAAGAACTGTTGCCAGATTTTAGAGCTGACTGGTAGAGACCATATGGGCTGGAGAAGCAGATCTGGATCTCTCTGGCACAAAGGTTTTGATAGAATCTACCTGGGGAAGGTTCTCAGGGGAGTGTGAAATTAAAAATAAATTAGAATGAAAAGTAACTTTGGAAGAGTATTTTAAGATCGAGTTGGGGGCACCTTAGGGGACCGGGGCCTACGCCTCTACTGCCTGGGAGAGTGAATTCTTAAACTGGGCACGGAAATGACACAGGAATGAGAACCTTTCAACAGGACCAAGGCCTGCAAAACTAACACCTTTTATTGGAGGCTGCAGCTGTAACAAGCCTCACAAATGGCGACTGAACTTCACGCCTAGAGCCCAGCGACAGATCGTAGTCCAGGGGTGTACAGCCTCGCGTCAGGACAGCATTCCTTCATCAGTCACCCTTCCCCTGTGGAACTTCCTTTGTCCTCAGCTTTCCCTTCCCCAGAGGAGTCCCGCACAATGTGAGTTTTTCTGGAGCACGCGTTCAGAGCTGTCTGAGAATTGGTTTCCCAAATTGCAATTCTCCGACTCCCAAGTAAAGTTCTTTTGCTTTTACAGTTTCAGGTTTTAAATTGATCAAAAAGAGGTGGACAATATGTGATGCTGGGAAATAGAGGAGCTGAAGAGAGAGAAAATACATTCCACCCTCTCTTCCAGGTCCAGTTCCTGTGTCACTTCCCTCCACGCGGCCTTCCCAGGTTGAACTCCACACATCCTTCTCGCACTCAAACCTTCCCATTATAGAATATATCTCATCCCTGCACTGGTTCTTTACCTGCTTCTCTCATACAGTGCCAGCACCCAGCAGGTCTTGGATATCAAGGGGCTGAGAACTCTATTCACAGTGCAGCACCTCACATTTTTATTTACTACTTTATTACAGTATAACTTACACTAAAATGAGGAAATAGCAAATGTACAGACTAGCACATTTTTACATATGTTTATAAGGAGATAGTGTAGGGGTAAAGGGAGATTTCCCTCTGTCCTCTTAAGTTTGCTGGAATAAATTGACAAAGATTAAATAGGAAGCTGGGGATGGCAGCACACACCTGTGATCCCAGGTACTTAAGAGGCTAAGGCAGGAGGATCATGAGTTCAAGGTCAGACTGAGCAATTTAGAGACTCTCAAAATGTTGTAAAAGGGCTGGGGATAAAGGTCAGCACTTCTTAGGTTCAATCTTCAGTATTAAAAAAAATTTTAAATAGGAGAAAAGTATATAAATTTACTAATGTGCAAAAGGGGAAAAGCACAGCATGGGGAAAATCACAGGAGTATGATTACCCACAAGTGATTTATTCAGAAACTTATATAGGGGAGGAGGAGATGGAGCATGCAGACTGCTTTAGATCATTTTGAGGGCTCAAATGATGGTTAAGGTAATCAACCGTCCTAGAGACAATTTCTTGGGGTTTGAATGACATTCTCTTGTAATGGAAGTCCATCAACATGGGTGACATTCCTCAGTCTCCTTTTCTGAGCCAGATGATGAGATTTCGAGGGTAAGGATACAAGGCAACTGAGTTCCCCTCTGCAGTCTAGCCCTAATGCTGATAAAGGAATCCCTCAGAGCCCAGTCCCTGTGCTTGAGGAAGCAGGCAAGAAAGGTTTCGGGGAGGCCTGGTGTGTGGCTCAGTGGTGGAGTAAATGCTGCATGTTTAGCATGCAAGAGGCCCTGGGTTAAAGCCCCAGCTCCTAAATCAACAAACAAATAAGAAAAGGTGAGAAAGGTTACAGGAAGCTTGATTCTAAACTTGCTTTTAAGGCTTTTAAATTTTCTTTACATCAAATTGCTCAGCATGCTCCCCTCCCATGCAATACTTTAGGGATACTGTTCTGAGTCCCAACAGTACTCACCACCCAGATCAAACTATAAATGCTGCTAGCACCCTGGACACTGTGGACTGCCTTCCCGTTACCCAGGTCATTGTCACCGTGGCAGAGAAACTAAGCCAGTAGCATGGTGTACCTGGAGGACATCATGCAAAATATGAAAGGACTTCAGGTGTTCCGACTGGAGGAGCAGACACTGGGGTGAGGCCATCATGCATGTGAAGAATTTACTACTAGGTGCAGAGCAGCAGATGTACTCCGTGTGGGCCTCAGGGAGCAGCTATAGGGAGAAACATTTCAGCCTAGCACAGGACCCCTCTGACCACCAGAGCTGACCTACAGGGGAAGCCAGTCCCCCACAAAGGGCAAGTAAAGGCCCGGGTAACATCAAGAACAGGACTGGGGGCATTTAACAGCAATTATGGAGAACAGAAAGGGGACTCCGTTGGAAGTTGTTCTCCCAACTCTGAGCCTCTCTGGCTCCGGAATTCTGTGACAGTGGCAAAGAGGACTCAGAAACGTGATTATGGTCTCTTCTTCCGGAGGGTAACTTTTTACTTTATTACAAGCACTGTGCAGGGCTACGCTTACCATCATTCAGGGAGTCCTTGTCATCACCTACAGAGGGACCTGGAGCCGTCCCCTGTGCTCTCAGTCCAGGGTGCGGTGGATAGCGCAGACAGAACCAGCCTGCGGCAGAGAAGTGGGTGGCTCCTCCAAGCGTCTTGAGAGCACCCACCAGAAGCCCTCCTTAGTCCTTTCAGCCCTGGTCACCCTGGACAGCAAGCGGGCACGGTGCCGCGGCTTTTGCCGCTGGCAGAACACCTGGGCGGAGGTGACATTGTAAGGCCCACCAGCCTGTGGCCACCTGGGGGAAGGGACAGCCTGGGTCGTCAGTGAGGGTCTTGGAAGGGCAGCCAGCCTGGAGCCTGAGCAACGCTAAAGCCTGAGCAACCCTAAAGCATACAGCTCAGGGCTTTTCCAGCGAAAACTGTCCCAGACATTTTCTTTTATTTTCTCTTCTCCTCCCCCTTTCCCATCCCCCCTCCCCTCCCCTTTTTCTCCTCCTTTTTTCCCTAGAGGATTCCTTCAGAGTCCCTCCCTGGGACTTCTCCGGGTGACTTCCCTTCCTGCTCCGCCCCTCCCCTCACGGGAAAGAAGGAGGGATGGAGTCTGGACCCAACGACGGCGTCCTCCTGCTTCCGGCACCTGCAGAGATGGTGGTGGTGAGGGCCGGCGCTTGGGCCCTCCCGGGGAGCTTCGGTGCAGAGGGTGCCAAGTTTCTGGGGTTTCCTTCTGAAGGACGGCGCGCTTACGCCCTTGAGCTCCCGATGGAATCCATGAGCACACTCCAAGAGGCCGGGATTTTGCTTTCTATGAAGTCCATCTGCGGGGCCCCGGGCTCGGCGGGGAGGGGTCTGCGGAGCGGGGCGGACGTGGCGCCCCCGCCTGCGTGCACTCAGTCCGTCCGAGGGCGGGGCCCGCGCCGCCCCTCCCCGCCCGCCTCCCGCCGGTGGCGCTGCACTCGGGCACCCGGGCTCCTCCGAGCCAGCAGCCGAGCCGCCCGCCGAGGCTATGGGCTGCGACGGCCGCGTGTCCGAGCTGCTCGGCCGCCACCTGCAGCCCACGCTCACCTACTGGAGCGTCTTCTTCAGCTTCGGCCTGTGCATCGCCTTCCTGGGGCCCACGCTGCTGGACCTGCGCTGCCAGACGCACAGCTCGCTGCCCCAGATCTCCTGGGTCTTCTTCTCGCAGCAGCTCTGCCTCTTGCTGGGCAGCGCCCTCGGGGGCATCTTCAAGAGGACGTGAGTGCCGCCACCCCCACCCCCAGCTTTCCCCTGAAAACTCTCTCTGAATTATTTATTTGGCTCACTCACCCCGGTGAGAGGGTAGAACCAGTTCCCACCGCTCCCCACCTCCACCCTCGCAGCCCAGGGCAGGAACAGGCGGCGGAGCTGGCAGAGTTGGGGACCCTGCTGCACAGCCGTCTGAGGTCGGTCGTAGCCCAGCTGCCAGGGGCAGAACTGGCAGCGAGGTGGAACGGGTGGGATGCCGTGCGGGGCAGTGCTGGGCGCCACGGCTGGCCTGCGGTTTGACCAGGTGCCCGCGGGTGGCTCCGCACCTAGCTTCCTCCTCATCATCGACATGGGCTGTCCCTTCACCCAGGTCGCCGCGGGGCAGGTGGGTTCTGTGAGGCTCTGCTCCCGAGGGAGCTAGGACAAGATCTTCTGTCTCAGACACGCAGGACCTCGTGGCTCAGGCCAGTCGAGGTGCAGAGCCTGCCATCCCTAGGCGGGTCAGGTGAGCCTCGCTCCCTGGTGCTGAGGTCCCCTTCCAGCCATGTCGCTCCTCCCTGGTGTCTGCTGGAGGGCAGAGCTCTGGACTCTCCCTGGCACGGTGCCCAGTGATGCCCCTTTCCGTACCACTGCCGGGCCTCATTCCCCTGAACAGGGCCACCTCTGCAGGCCCTTCTGAGGGCCAGCAGGGCCGCAGAGACCCAGCGTGGGGACTAGATGACTTGCAGCCAGAGGCTCTGCATGATTTCCCGAGCTCCAGCTCCTGGCTGAGTTTTTCCTGGATGGCAGGGACTCAAGCAAGCAGCTGGCCTGGGGACAAAACTACAGTTGGGCTACCCCAGGGGATCTCCTAGGCCAAGGCCTCTTGTCCTCTGGCTCGCTCGTACAGGGGCTCCGAAGTCTGGGTGTTCATGTGCACCTCGCTTCCCCCCTGATGGAGAGGCTCACAGAGCGACCCCGATAGGGAGTGGTTATCCTCACTTCTCCAGCCCTCCTGTAACCTGCAGAATTTCCCTCTGAGCCAGCAAATCTCCTGTGTGCAGCAGGGTTTCTGTGGGTTGGGAATAGGATCCACTGTGCTGCAGTTAGAAAACCTTAGGAAGAAGCTTGAGATCCATTCTGCCTAGAGATTTGCCTTGAGAAATGCAGAGTAACTCTCAGTACCAGCAGTGTGTCATGTTGCGTTTCAGTGTTTAGACCCACAGAGGCCCCTTACCTGGAACTTTTTCAGACCCTGTGTAGTGAAAAACAGGAAGGAGGATGAGGAGAATTCCAGGTGACAGGTTGGCAGGCCTGGCTTTGCGGAGTGGGCAGAGGCGGACGCCCAGCTGGGCCGGCTCTTCCTGGCTGGCTTTGTGCCTCCCTCTGGGCTCTGCGTAGGCAGCAGAGAGGGTCCTGCAGCAGGAAACTGACTCGCAGAAAAGAAAAATGATAATACTAACAAGAATAACTATCGTGTGCACTCCCTCTCCACCAGGCACTATTCTTAGTACTTTAGTTACATCAACCCATTTCGGCTTTACCGCAGCCCTGCAGACTGGCGCTGGTAACTCCATTGTATATACAAGGAAGCCAGGGTGCAGAGAGGTTAAGAAATTAGCCCTCCATCACACAGTTATTGAGAAGAGACCTGGCCAAGATGGAAGCTGGGCATTTGTCTCTAGAATCGGATACCTCAGCCGTGGCTCTTGCTTTATGAGTGGTCAGATTCCTCTCTGCAGATGAGGTTCAGGCCGGAGGTGAGTGATCCAGTGATATTCACCGCTGAACGTGTTTGAGCTCCAAGGTCCATGCTGGGTCTCCTCGGCTTCCTGCTAGGATCCTTTGGGGCAGGGTAGGCCCTCGTGATGGTGCAGATTTAGATTCTGGACTTAGGTCTTCCTGCCTTCAAGCAGACTGTCTCAGAGAACCCTTTCTTCTGGTGAAGAACGAAGCAGACTTCCCCTGAAATGGGGGGCAGGTGCCCAGGGGTGAGCCTGAGTGTGGGCAGCGGTGACACCTGTGAGTCCATGTGAGTCCTCAGTGCAGTCCCCCAAGCCCGGGTGACAGAACCCTGCCAGCCATGTTGCCGGCCTCAGGGCCTTGCAGCCGTGCGCCTTGCCCATCTCTATTGGCACGTTAATCCCCCTGCGCGTAAGTGCTTTTCAGCTTACATGACTACCAGCCGGTGTGCCATGCTGGCATCCCGAGTGAGGGCTTGGTTTAACAAATCTTCAAGGGCCAGCTGCTTCGAGGGCGTGGGGGGAGTGCCGGATGACACATCCCAGAGCGTTGGGCAGTGCCTTCTCCAGGGTTCTGCTCAGGTCCCGCCCACTGCCCTGTCCAAACCGAGAGTCCTGGACCAAAGGGGGCTTCTGGGTGCTTCCACAGGCTGGGGATGGAAGGACAGCGTGCGGGCGGTGGGATGCGAGAGTGGGTGGGTGGCTGAGGAACCTGCGCCCCTCTCTGCTTGGAGCAGCACCCCCTCTGGGGCTTCTGGCAGACACGGATAACCTGAAGGAGCCACCAGATGTGGGCCAGAGGGGGGCGGTGGGGTACGAGTGTAGCCAGAAGAATCTGAGCTACACCCTCCTTAGGAAAATCTTGCTGAGCTCAAGGAGGAAATCTTTCAAAGAGAAACAAAAAGCCACCTGCTCAACAGGATGAATAGGTGTGTGCTTTGTCAGACAGGAAAGGGGGAAGGGTAGTTAGACAGGAGGTGACAGGCTTTTTCCTGGCTTCGTGGGGACCTGTCTGACCACCCAGGCAGTTGGGAGACCCCCTTATCTGCGAGGCCTTGGGCAGGTCAGTGACCTGAGAGCTTCCCAGCCCTCTCCCAGCCTCCTGTGTGCACCCTCCAGACCAAAGGCTAGTTGAGGTCTTTTCTTTCCCTCTTCACTCTTTCCTTATTTACTGTTCCCCTCAAGTACTTCTAGTCCACAAGGCCTGCCCTGCCCAAGACCCAGCTGTGACTTCCTCCTGGCCCTTGTGTCAAGCCCAGTCTTCACACCCAGCTCCCAGGCCCCTCCCAGACCTGGCTCCACTGTCCCTGACACAGTGCCAGCCAGTGCCCCACTCGGAGCTGGGCTGTGGCCAGCCTCCCTTCCGCTGAGCCTCTGCCTGTCTACTGAGGAGCTTTCTGCCTTTCAGCATGCCACGGACCTTTCAGCATGCCAAATGCCTGCTAGGAGTCCATCACCAGACATGGTCTAGTTTTTGTTTTTTTGGTACTAGGGATCGAACTCGGGTCCTTGCGCTTGCAAGGCAAGCGACGGAACCACTGAGCTAAATTCCCGGCCCCAGACATGGTCTAATTTTAAAAACTCATTTTAACATGGAGTTACCATAGGACCCAACAGTTCCCCCCCTAGGTACAGACCCAAGAGATGTGAAACCTTTGTCCACACAAAAACTTGTGCATGCGTATTCATAGCAACATTATTTGTAATACTCAGACAAAATAGAAACAAGCCAAATATCCAGGAATAGATGAATGGGTAAATAACAGGAGGCATATCCAATTCATAGGACTCAAGATAGGGAACCAGCCTAGGTATTCATCAAAGGATGAGTGGGTAAAGAAAATATGGTGCATATACACAGTGGAATATTACTCAGCTATAAAGAAGAATGAAATCATGTCATTTGCAGAAAACAAAATGGATGGCACTAGAGATCATCATGTTAAGTGAAATAAGCCCAACTCAGAAAGATGAGTATCATATGTTTTCCTGAATATGTGGAATTTAAAAAAGAAAAGATAGTAGGAAAGTAGAAGGCAGACTACTATTGGACAAGAGGAACGGAACACAGAAAAGGAATATGAAAGGAAGGGTAACCGGAGGGTGGATATGAGCAGAATACATTGTATGTGTGTATGAAAATGAAGCCCAGTATTTTTTTTTAGTTTGTTTTGTTTTAGCTTATTCAGCTAAAATTAATAGGCACTAATAAAAGTACTTTAGGAGCCAGGGATTTAGCTCAGTGGTTCCAGCGCCTGCCTCAAAAGTGCAAGGTCCTGAGTTCGATCCCCGGTACCAAAACAACAACAAAGAACAAAAAAGTACTTTAAAAAATAAATAAAAGATAAACAAAATGGCATATCCATACAGTATGATATCATTCAGCTAGTGTGCTGAGTGGGGGAAAGCCAGCCATGGAAGGCCGCAGAGTGTGATTCCATCTCTAGAATATCCCCACTAGGGAAAGTGTAGCTGCAGGAAGCTCATTAGGACCTGCCTGGGGCTGGAGAGACCCAAGGGCTGATGGATACAGGCTTTCTTCCCAAGGTGGCAGAAATGCTCTGAAGGGAGATCATCGTGATGATGTTACACTTCAGAATATGCTAAAAACAAACAAACTCGAATTGTATACATATTTTATAGTCTACAAATTATATATCAATGTTTAAAATTTTTAAAGATCTTTAAAACTCATTTCTCTCACGAATTCACTCATTCAGCAGATATCTCCTGAGCCAGACCCTGTGTGCAGGGGGATTATGCCAGGCAAGGCCCTGAGCTCTGGAGGGGACTTTAGATGGTGAAATGAAGGAAGCATAGCGGGGTAGGAATGACAAAATCAGGCTCCTAGTGAGGTGCACAGGGGACACCTCTCTGGAGATGACACCGGAGCTGGCTCCTCAGTGACAGCAGAAAGCGGGTGTCTAGGCAGACAGACTGCGGGCTGGGCTAAGGCCTGAGGTGGCTTCCGGTGTGCCCTGCTCCTGAGCGGGTCCTGGGACGTCTTCCTGTACAGCCTGAGTACAGGGTACTCCTGCCCTAGCCCGGGGACTCCCCAAGACAGGGCTGTCTGGACCCCAGCCTTGACACGGGCCCTGGAAGAGCTAGGGCTGCCCAGTTGCCTCCTCTCCCCAGCGCTGCCTCTTCCCCAGATGTCCTAGCTCCCTGGGGTGCTTTCTCCTGGTTTCTTGTCCCAGAACCCCTTGCCATCTCACTCAGGGGTGCCTGGCTCCTTTGGGGTGGATAGGGGCTGGGGCCACCTGCACCTGCCATTCCTCCCAAGTTCTGTTCCCTCTCCTCTGCCTCAGCCCTTCGAGATGGTCCAGCTGGGCAGGGCAGGGGGAAAGATGTCCCGGGTAGCCCTGCTTCGCGGAGAGCTCCCGAGCAAGCGTCAGTGCCCCGGACCCTGGGCCCACCCCAGGGTGGAGGGCAGGAACGGCCGGTGGCATCCTGCTGCTCAGGCTCTCGCTCTGCCTGGCACCATGCAGCCCCTCCTCCTTTTACCGAGCCAGGAGAGTGGGTGCCCGAGGCAGGCCCAGGCCCAGGTGATCATGTGTCGTCTGGGCAGGGCAGAGCACGGGGCTGAGAGGGTCAGCGATATGTCAAGGGCGCAGCAGATGTGGCGGGCAGGTGACTCCAGCAGAGCCAGAGGCAGGGTGGGGGAGGAGGACTGGCTCCCGTCCTGCCCCATTCACCATTGGTAAGTGACTCGGCCATTTCCCAGGCACCCTGACAGGGTTTCCCAGACTGTCTACGCTGTTCTCTGGGCTTCTCTAGGCCTTGGGGGGAGTGAGGCCCCTCCTCTAGTAGGCCCGAGTTAACCCAGGGTGGGCAGTGGTGGGTGCCCCTCCTGGTTCATGGACCAGCCTCTCAGGGCCGCCGCAGAGGGTATGGAGGTAGGAGTAGGAGGCAGGGGACTCAGGAGCCCTAGCTCTGGCCTCTGCACTTTCTAGTGAGCGTGGTGTTCTGGCCCAGCATTGCTCTTTTGGGGGAGCCCAGGGCCAGCAAGAAGGGCTGAGCATAAGGGTCGGGAGTGCTCAGTAGCTGAGGGAAGCAGAGCTTGCCATCCCCATTTTAGGACAGAGGAAACCGAGGCTCGGAGGGGCTGAGTGTAAGCAGCTTGCCCCAAGCCACACCACAGGAAGTGGCGGACACCGGCCCAGAAGCCAGTCTTCCGGTCTCAGGTCCCATCACCTCTTTGATGCCCCAGGCCTGACAGTAACATTTCCATAGTCTCTAAGTACCCACATTCCTGGAAGAGACCACTGACCACGCCGTTTAAAACAGGCAGTCGGTGTGTTCCAGGCTGGCTCAGAGATATATCTGGAACTTCTTTTTTCTTGGTCACAACATCCCATTCTAAAGAAATTTCTTCAGGATGCTTTTTGGAATGCCCAGACACCGGCCTGGCTGAGGCAGCTGCGGAGAGTGGGCAGCCTGGGACCCTGCCTCGATTTTTTTGGGCACTGGGGATCGAACTCAGGACCTTTCGCTTGCCAGGCAGGCGGCAGAGGAAAAGACTTCCTGTGGGATAAATGTCCCCACCTGTTGAGGACAGGGCTCCACAGCCCTGGCTCGAAGGAGCCCAGGCCCCGTCTGGGTGCAGCCCGCCTGCCACCAGCTGCAGGAGCAGGCTCAAGTCACAGCCAGTGGCGTGGCCTAGCAGGAGGCACAGGGAGGGGATTCCCTATGTCTGGCTCCTCCTGTCAAGTGCCTGGGACCAAAAAAGTCCCCTGTGGGCATCAGCTTTCCTCAAGAATGACAAGGTAAAAGGGTACAAATGACTAGAGGCTGGGCAGGGCAGCTGAGGGGGGCACCTGGGCCCCTTTCCGTCTCCTGAGTCTCCTGCTCTGTCAGATTATCTAGTAAGACTCCGACGTCAGCCTCCCGCCAATCTCCAGTCCCTTTGCCTGGCCCACCTCATGTTGGGTGGCAGGAGGGGCCTGCTCCAGCCCTACCCCGTCACTAGCACTGTCCAGGAGCCTGGACTGGGCACCTGCTCAGGGCCACTCGGTGCCAGTGAGGATGCTGGCACTGGAGCCAGCCCTGAGTGCCCCAGACGTTCAGAGCTGTGGTCCGAAGCAGGCACGAGTTAGAGGTGACGGCTGCTCTCCACTGCCTCCTAGTCCAGCCGCTCAGGGCTCTGCAGCATGGGGCTGATGCTCTCTGCCAGCTACTTTCTTAGCCCTGCCTAGGCGTTTGCTCTTGAGTAACATGGGCAGAGACTACTTCACAGCACTGTCGTGGCTGACAAATGCCCAGGACCTTTCGAGCGGCAGTGCTTCCTCCTGTAAGTGTGGTGCTGCTTCGTGGCCACCCCTTCCTTTCCCACAGCTCCCCACAGTCCCTTCCCATCTCAATTTACTGGCCCAGGTCCTGTGCCGCGTGACCCACTGCTGTTTGTGTCTACCCTCCGCCAGGAAGCTCACTGAATCTGAGGTCGAGCTCCCCCACTGAGAGCTACCTCCCAGCCCTTGCCCAGGTTTCCCAGGGCCACGATGAGTGTGTGTTCATTCTTCCGCAGAGCATTGCCCTTGACTTGGGGCGTGTATGCCTCACCACAGTGCTGAGGTGTAGGAACACCAGGTCCTGGCTCCTAGGGTCAGTGGGGAGGGGGCCCTGGGGCTGCTGTCCCGGAGCTGGACCTCCTTGTACAGGAGAGGAGAGGGAATTGTTGCGGGAGGCCTGCTGTCATGTCAGCACCTAGTCTGGTGGCTGTCCCCTCTCTCCTGGGCTCGGAGGAGGCCAGTGAGATGTGACCGCCTCTGGGCAGGAGACCGTGGGCATTACGGGGAGTGGCAGTGTGGCCTGGGGTCAGGCGGTAGAGCTCAGAGCAGGGCCGCCAGGGACAGTGAGGAGTCTGGAGGGACCTGGACAGGCCTCCACTTAATGGCCTTCCCGCCCTCTGCTTCCTCCTGACCCAGGTTTCTAAGCAGCCACCCTCCCGTCCTGAGCCGGGAACAGGCCGAGGTCATGGACAGTAATCTCCCCAGCAGATCAGCCTGGAAACAGAAAAGAGAAAATGAGAAAATAACGAACTGCTACTATCAGGAGAGCTCTCTGATAAAGGATTTAATCAGATGTGGGGCAGATGAGAGAGAGGGCAGAGGGGAGCCAGAGGCGAGCTCTGGAAGAGACACCATCCTCAGGGTCCGGGCCTGCGCCTCCTTGGAGCGCTGAAGCTCGGAGAGGCAGAGGTCTGCCAGTGCCACCCCACCTCGCCCAATCTTCATAGCCTGAGAAAGTTCCTCCAGGGCCTTCACGCTGTCTGGGCTCCTTCCCCACCCCACCCGGCCCCAACAGTAGCCTTTCAGGCTGGTCCCAGAGTCTCAAAGTCTTCCTTTCTTCCTTCTTCTTTTTTTAAAAAATTTCTGGGGCCGGGGAGTAGAGCCCAGGCCCTGACTCAGGCTAGGCAAGGGCTCTGCCACTGAGCTACGTCCTCGACCCAGAAAATACCAGTCTGTAATCCCTTCTCCGAGGGTCTGGTAATGGGGCAGGAGATTCCAGAAGCCCTGAGGAGCCTTAGCCACTCCCTGCAGCCTGCTGCACGCCCACTCGGTCTGAGGGAGGAAAGGACCAGCCAGCCAGGAGGCTGACCTCGGGAGACACTCGCCGGGCTGGTGGCTCTGGCGGTGCAGGCCTCGCCTGTTCCTGTGGGCTCAGGTTCCACCTGGGTCCCCCTCCACTTGTCCTGGAGAAGCCCCAGTAGAACTGTTTATACGTAAACAAGTTAAGGGTTAACACGGATGATGGTGGCCAGGTGGCTCTGATACCCGTGGTACATAGGGCGGCACAGGGCAGACCCATTGGTGGTTCAGTCCTGCAGGAACCTGTTCTGCAGCAGAGCACTGAATAAAACAATAGCGGTTAAGGCTTGTAAAGTGCCTGGCTCCATAGATTCCATAGATTCCCTCCCACCACCACCACCTCTGTCCTGTTTATTTGGGTTTTTTTTTTTTTGTAGTACTGGGGATTGAACCCAGGGGCTTTGCCCTGAGCTATATACCCAACCCTCTTTTATTTCATTTATTTATTTATTTATTTATTTATTTATTTATTTATTTATTTATTTTGGTACCAGGGATCGAACTTGGGACCTTGCGCTTTTGAGGCAGGCGCCGGAACCACTGAGCTAAATCCCCGGCCCCCTCTTTTATATTTTAAATTTTGAGATAGGGTCTCACTAGGTCGCTTAGGTGCCCAGACTGGGTGAGAACGGGCAATCCTCCTGCCTCAGCCTCCCAGAGTGCTGGGATTACAGGCCTGTACCGTCCTGGCTGGCTCCACGGTCCTGGTCTCACAGTGTGTTCTCTGAGGACACAGGCGTGCATGTGCAGCAACTTGCCCCAAACCCAGAGCTGAGGAGAGGCTCCCTTCCCTTCCTCCCAGCGGGTGGGGCATGCCTGGCCAAGGGAGATCAAGAGGGGGTGCCCCCCGGGAGGCTCAGGCGCTTCTGCTGACGCCCCCTCCCTGCTGCAGCCTGGCCCAGTCACTATGGGCCCTCTTCACCTCCACGCTGGCCATCTCCCTGGTGTTTGCCGTCATCCCCTTCTGCCGGGATGTGAAGGTGCTGGCTTTGGTCATGGCGCTGGCGGGGCTGGCCATGGGCTGCATCGACACAGTGGCCAACATGCAGCTGGTGAGGATATACCAGAAGGACTCGGCCGTCTTCCTCCAGGTGAGCCGCTCCCACCAGCCCATCCCTCCCTCTGAGCCCTTGACCAGGAGTCTCTCTTGGGGCCAGTCTTCGGGTGGCGCCTCCGCCCAGCTTGGCCACTCCCAGGGGGGCTCAGCTGCGGTCCCTCAGGACGTGGGGCTGGGGTCGTGTCCTCTCGATCCAGCCCACAGAGCCCCAGCACTGAGGAGAGAAAGTTGTGAGGAAAAGTGTTGTGAGGAGCCCCTGCTTGGGGGGTGTTCGCTGCCTGGGGTTAAGGTTTAGGGCCCGGCCACTGTCGGCCGAGTACACAGGCCTGGAGGGAGGGCTTGGGCCTCTCCTCACACTCCCTCACCTCTCCTGCTTCCTCAGCCGGCTTCACCCACTCTGGACCAGGCAGGGGGCCCCGGTGGGGCAGAGGAGAGGTGGCTCCCTCCAGGTGCGGATCTGTCTAGGCCACAGCTGCCTGGGCCGGAAGACTGAGGCAGACCCCCACCCTCCCACAGGTGCTCCACTTCTTTGTGGGCTTTGGTGCTTTGCTGAGCCCCCTGATCGCTGACCCCTTCCTGTCTGAGGCCAGCTGCTTTCCTGCCAACAGCACGGCCAACGCCTCTAGAAGCCACCTGTTCCACGCTGCCCGGGTTCTGGGCCAGCACCACACAGGAGTCCAGCCTCAGCCCAACCAGACCTTCCCGGTACCAGCCCCAAAGGGCGGGGCTGAGACCCGAGTGTCCTATGCCTTCTGGATCATGGCCCTCATCAATGTGAGTGTCGCTGGGGCAGGCTGGGCTGGGAGCTAGTGCACAGTCCACACCTGCTAGGCCACCCACCTCCCAAAGCAGGTTCTTCGGGTTCTGAGACTTGTGGCTGAGAGGCTGCAGGTAGGGGGACCCCCTTTCCTGGGATCATCAGTAGAGTCCCTCCGAAGTGACCTCTGTGATTGCAGTTCTCCAGGAAGCAGGCAATGAGCGGGTTTAGCTCTGTGAAAATCAGGGACAGCTTGCCAGCCTTCTGAGGCTCAGTGGGACACCAGCCCTTCCCTCCACAGCTGGACTCTGGTCTCAATCTGGAATCCTCCTCTGCAACCCAAGAGGGGTTCCCTGGGCTAGCTGAGGCTGGTGGGTCAAGCCCGTTCAGGGACCCCACCTGTGCCCACCCCATTGTTTTGGGACAATGCCACTTTGGAGCCTGTGCCTCCCAAGGGGGACCTGGGAAGGGAAGGGCACTGTCCCTGCAGCATCAAGGCTGGGCCTCTGACACCAGGAAGCCAGAGGGCTCCGCTTAAGCCCAGGGCCTGTGCTTCCTTGCCCCGTGACAAGGCGCAGACCAAGGGACTTTGTTTGCAGTAGGATTTCCGGACTTCTCACACTGGTTTGTGTCTGAGGATAAACAATCCACTGCAGGGGAGAATGCGGCTGCACCTGCACGTGGGGTGTACTCATGCTCGCACACACACAGACACGCACTCACAGACATGCGTCTGGCCTGGATGTAGCGGATTTTCGAGGTACCACTGCTGTCCGCAGTGAGATTCTCATAGAGATGAGGCAGTTCCTGCCAGCAGAGCCAGCCAACCCTCTGTGAAGTGTTCCTCGCCACCCACCTCCCTGGAAAGCCCCACCCGAGTGATGGAGCCTCGCTTACAGCTGTTTCCCCTTGGCCTTCACCCAGGCATTTAGCCACTGTGGCCTGGGGGTGTTCCTGGTCCCCCTGAAGACTGCAGGAAGGGTTGTGTCGCCCCCCTTGGCCCTGGGCTCCACTCAGAGCCCATTTGTGACTTTACAGCTGCCAAGGGCTCAGTGACCTTGACTTGATTTTGAGTATGCAGAAAAGCTCCAGGTCACCCGTGGAGGAGTCAACCAGGGGTGGGGCAGATTTTGTCTTCCGGCCTGTTGTAATCTCGCCTGCCCTGGAGGGGGAGGGGATCTCCCAGAGCAGCACCAGGCCAGGGCTGGCAGCCTGCTCGGCTTCCCTGTGCCCCGGCCCATCCACTGGCCCTGCTTACCCACCTCATAGAACCTTCTGCAGCTCCCCGGGCCTCCTCTCCTTACTCAACAAAGGGTTGGGGGGCCAAGGCCAAAGCAGGAAGGGCAGTGGTCAGACTTGATAAAGAACTTCCTGGCAGCGGGGTGGTTAGGCCCAGGCCATGGCACCTGAGGGAGGTGGTGGCAGCTTCCCCAGGCAACCGCAGGGCAAGAGACAGTGCCCATTGCTCTGGGGAGCTCAGGGAAGACCAAGTGGCTTAGGGAACAGGGCGGGGAGCTGAACACCACGTGTGTGCATGGTGCTTATGAACTCGAATTTGTCCACTGAAATGGGTCCCTGCCAGGGTCTTCCAGTGAGGCACCTGCCTAGCACCGAACACCGCCAGGGCCCCCTGAGGTGGAGACGGTGCTGGGCAGAATCAGGATGCCAGCTTCCAGTCTAACTCTGCCCGAGCCAGCCACGTGGGGGGATGCTTTGCTTCCTGGTTCTCTAGCTGACCTTCCAGCTCGAGCAGGGCGTGACCAAAGGATCACTTTTGAGCCTCAGTTGCTGCATCTGGAAAATGGTGCTCAGGATCCCGGCAGGCACCCGCCATGGAGCTGTGATGGGCAGAGGTCACGCTGTGGTGCGCAGCCCAGTGTGGCATGACCCACAGCATGCAGGCATGGCAGGTGGCAGGCGGCAGGCTGTGGCACTGCCCAGAGCAGGATGCTGAAAACCAGTTACCCTGGCACCTCTCTGGGCCACAGCAAGTCTGATTTTGAAAGACTGTCTTCTGAAGGCAGCAGGTGTGCCTAAGCCCAAGGACTGGCTGGGGCACCTTGGGAAAGAGCCGACTTGACCCAGGACCCTGCAGACCCAGCATGTGTGTACAACACTCAGTGGGGCAGGGAAGGGGTGGCAGGGCTGCCCTGACCCTTTGCCACCCTCCAGCTTCCAGTGCCCTTGGCCGTGCTGTTTCTGCTCTCCAAGGAGCGGCTGCTCACCTGCTACGCTCAGCGCAAGCCCCTCCTGCTGCCTGCAGATGAGCTGGCCCTGGAGACCCAGCCTCCCGAGAAGGAAGACGACTCACTGTCCTCCAAGTTCCAGCCACACCCAGGTGGGGGCGCCAGTGAGCATCCATGCTCACAGCCTGACCTGGCAGCTTCCCTGGCTACCCTGGCCCAGGGAGGTGACCCCAGATCTCTGGGGATGAGGGCTAGAAACACTTTGGCCCTGTGGTCTGGAGGGGCAGCAGAGGAGTGGCCTGGCCAAGGGAATGTGGAAAGCGGACCCCTGGTTCTGACTTCCTTTCCACCCAACCCTCCTGCGTGACCTGGGCAAGTCACTTGGTCTCTGGTTCCACCAGGCCTGGGAGGCGGACAGAAGCTGCTCCTAACAGGTACCCGGAAGCTACAGGAGGTAGAGGCAGTAAATGGCCCGTGCTGCAGGGCATTTCTGACCCCCAGCACTTCCCTGGGTGTGCAGAGGGAGGGGAGCAGAGGGGGACTCACCCTGCCCTTCCCATCCCTCTCCCAGGGCCTGAGGACCTCTTCAGCTGCTGCCAGAGGAAGAACTTCCGGGGAGCCCCTTGTTCCTTCTTTGCCATCCACATCACGGCGGCCCTGGTCCTGTTCATGACGGACGGGATGACGGTGAGCCTGCCCGAGTGAGGGCTCCCTCCAGAGGCCTGTACCCTCACGCCGAGGCCGGAAGCAGCGAGCCCTTGCTCAGTTCCGAGGCTGCACAGTGTCCAGTCCTTGGGAGCCGCTCTGGGAGCTGCTGGGGCCACCAGTGGCCTCTGTCCCTGCCGGTGGTGTTTGTTCTCCTAGGTCTCCTTAGAGGCCTGTCTGTTTCTTACTGACTGCAGAGGACACGCAGCTTTTAAGGGGGCAGAGCCCTGTTCCTCTCACCACAGTGAATGCCGGTGTGCTTGGCTTCCGACGCCTGTGTTATAAACAAGCCACCTGTCGGATGCCCGCCAAGACCTGCATCACGCGGTTTACTGCCTCTCCCCAGAAATCTTTTAGGATAGGTCAGGACAGTCTTGAGTGACCGACTGTTGCTAGCAGAGGGACCCTCCAGAGAGAAGGCCCTGAAAACCTAGAGGACCCGGTGAAAAGTATGTGCGGCAGGCCTGGCTGGCTTTGCTTCTCAGGGTGACCTTGGGCATCACTGCCCAGGCTCGCTCTCCTGTAAAGTGAGATGCTCATGGATCCTTTCTTTCAAAGCTAAGGGACAGCATGTGTCTGACAGCCCCCGTGGGGCCACCCCTCAGGGACCCAGTGACAGGCAGGGGAGCCCTCGGTCCCCACGGGTGCAGGCTGTAAGCAGCAGCATCTGGATTCTGTCCCAGCTTGGGCCTGAGTGTGCGGAAGGGTCTCGGGACAGGGCCATCTGCCCCCCTTCAGCCTCTGGGCCTCAGTGTGCTCACGGGCCTGCTCTCTCCGCAGGGGGCATACTCCGCCTTCGTGTACAGCTACGCTGTGGAGAAGCCGCTGTCTGTGGGACACAAGGTGGCCGGGTACCTCCCCAGCCTCTTCTGGGGCTTCATCACGCTGGGCAGGCTCATCTCCATCCCCGTCTCCTCGAGGATGAGGCCGGCCACCATGGTCTTCGTCAACCTGGTGAGTGGCCGGGGCCTCTCCTCCCTTCCTAGCCACCCAGAGTTCATCTCCTGTTGGCCCCTGCCACGGCCATCACCGCCCCAGGACACATGTTTGGGACTGGACTCTGCTGCTGACCTGGAGGGAGGGTAGTCAGAGAGAGGACGGAGCAGAGAGAACCTGGGAGGTGGAGCCTGCCTGTGTGACCTGATGCCTTCCCCTCGCTGGGCCTCTGACCTTGTGCCCTCACAAGCACAAGTACTGGGGAGCAGACTCCGGCTGACAACCACTGGGGACCCAGGGAAACGGTGCTGGTCATGGCCTCCTGTGTCACCATGGTGCCCAGCTGGTAGCTGGGATCTCCCAGTCCTCGGCATCGGCACCACAGGGCTGAGACTGGAATTTGCTCTCTCGGTGACTCAAGCTTCAAGGACCAGGAGCCGGCCGTGGGTTAGGGTCTTGCCCTGATGTACATCCGTGTCATCACCTGTGACAGACAGGTTCAGAGTAAGAGTCTGGGGTCACCAGGCCCAGCGCCCACTGAGCCCTGATGCACCTCTGTGGCGTCCTGTCTCGGGGGACCTCGGTCTCTGCTCAGACGCCTCCAGTAACTGGGAGCTCACTACTTTTCCAGGTAGCCCCATCCACTGTAAAAATGTCCTTGCTCACTTGGGCTTCTCAAGAGGAGGGGTGTGGCCAGAATGTTGGGGCCACAGAGGCAAAGACTTCGAGCCTGGCGGAGACCTTAGATTTGGCCTGTGCTAGTTGATGATCTGCTGAAGAAATTTCAGTCCATAGAGGTGGGTGGTAGGAGCTAAACCCCGGAGGCTTTGGGTCAGAAGGGATGGGCCATGAGGCCACATGTGGATTCCACTCTGCACGTGCTTCTGAGATGGAGAGTCGATTTCGAGGACTCAGACGTGGGGCAGAGGAGGAAGGGAGGGAGTCTGAAGGAGAGGACTCTGGGAAATGCCAAGGGTGGGGAGGAGCTGAAGGCCTTGGCAGGTGGGGGGCACAGGGTGGGGGAGAGCCGAGCTCAGGGAGGAGAGGGAGCTGGGCAGAGCATGCTGGGATGGAGAGAGATTCTGGAAGTCTCTGCGGGGCAGCAGAGGAGGGGTAGGGCACTAACAGTGCCCAGGCTCGGTGTCCTCCTCCAGGGAGGACAGGAGACCTGTTGCTAAGGGAGAGGACAGGGAGAGGGGTCTGTGTGCCAGGCACTGCCCATGAAAACCCACCTGGAGCTGGGTGAGGGGCGCTCCAGAGGCTGAGGCAGAAGAATTTCAAGTTTGAGGCTGGTCTAGGCTATATGGTGAGAACCTGTCTCAAAACAACACATCAAACCAAACAAACAGCCTACCCGGGGTGCTGGTTTTAAAAGAGACAATCCGATTCCTGGGCTCAGGGCAGACTGGTGAATCAGAACATCCAGGGGAGGCCTGGCCATCTATAGATTTACCAAACGCCCCTGGATTTGCATGGTGGGGCAAGTGTGGGCCAGCACTGCCCTAGAGGTAACGGTGGCGTCTTGCAGGCTGTGGCCTGGGAACCGCAGCTGCCCAGCCCAGTGAGCCTCCCTCCACCGCAGCTATGAGAAAACAGTGTCCTAGTCTCTGTGACCGCTTCCGAGTCGGTCACCCTGTCCTAGCAGTCCCGGGGCTCAACAGCTGTTTCTGACTCAGCGTCCACGCCCTGTGTGGGGCCACGTGGGAACGGCCGAGGGCTCTGCAAGGCCAGGGCCCAGCCTCCAGGGGGCGGCAGGCGGCCGGGGAAGGCGGAGGGGTCAGTGGCCAAGGCTGGGGCCTCGCGTGAGGGACCTTGCGTGAGGGAAGAGAGTCCTGGACAGACCACACTGGATACAGCCTCTGTCACCAAGGCTGAGTACGGGAGTGGTGTCTTTTGAACTTCCCCGCATCTAGAGTTTTCCGGATGACTGTTCTGAAGGCTTGCCTGGCAACACCTGTGGTCTGTGTGCGATGCAATCAAAACATACAATGAATGTTGAAATAGAAATCAGCTATTCCAGTAAAAGACACACTGGCATTAATCTCCCTCAGAATACTCCCCCACTTCGAGCACACTTATCCCATCGTTCTTGCTACTCTCGTTTTGTTTTTATGAGACGGGTTCTCGCAGTGTATTGCAGGCTGCCTTGAACTCACCATGCAGCCCAGGCTGGCCTTGAACTCTCGGCTTCCTCCTGCCTCAGCCTCCTGAGTGCTGAGGTAACAGGTGTGCACCACCACGCCCGGCTCAGTCTTTCCACTTTCTGAAGCAGTTCTGGAAATCCTCTTTCATGAGTGTCTTTATGGGGTGTGATCAGAAATATGGTGAATGCTGCTGCTGCGTCCCAACCAGTGGGAAGCTGGGCTCATAAAACATGAAGGCGTGCCCTCATCCACCTTATTCACCAGCTCTGGCACTGTGTGATCTCTGGTTCTTCTCCAAAGTCAAAATGACCACAAAAGGTGAACATTTTGAATCCATTCAGAACATCGAGGCAGCCATGATGGCACAACTGAAGACACTCATGAAAGAGGACTCAGAACTGCTTCAGAAAGCTGCAGGAGCGATAGGATAGGTGCGTTTGAAGACAGAGGGGCTATTTTGAGGGGGATAATGACAGTCCATCTTTCACTGCAAATTTTAAAATTTTTTTTAAAAATTAAACATTCACTGTATCTCTCAGTCCCACCCACTGGGGGTGGCCACATTGGGGGAGGTACAGCAGCGGCTGCACCTGAGCTGAGCAGGCTCATCACATAAGAAGGCCAAGCCCCGTGACACGCAGAGGGTCCTGCCGGGTGAAGGCCCTGGGCAGGGGCCGCCGACACGGTAGGAGGATGAGGGACAGGAGACGAGCCTAGGCGGTGGACCACGGCTACACCCTGCACACTTCTTTAAGGCAGGATGTGGATGGTGTACTAAGTGGGCAGGAAACCGAGACGTTTTCAAGCAGCGAATGGATGTGATCTTTGCTGCATTTACACCGTGGCTTCTGTTCTGTGGGAGTCCACTGTCAGGGGTCAGGGTGAACACAGGGCCCACGACGTGTCTGCTGTGTGGTCCAGGCTAAAGGGGGTGCTGGGCTGAGGGGGTCGGGGGCTTGGAGAGATGGGAAGATTCTAAAATGTCTGGGGTAGGCCCGCGTGCAGGAGGAAGGGAACGCGGAGGTGAGGACTCCCTTAGACTCAGGGCCTGAGCAGCAGCAGGGATGGCAGTGTACTTACCACTCAGCTTCCTGTCCCTGTAGTGAAACACCGGAGGTCGTTATAGAGGAAAGGTTTATTTTGGTTCTCACTTTGGCAGTTCCGGTCCATGAGGAGGCGGATACACTGCCTTGGGCCTGTGGTGGGTGTGCAGGTGTCGATGGCAGGAAGTGTGGCAGGTGAGCAGGCGGAAGCAGAGGGGACCAGGAGGCCAAGGTCCCACCATGCCCTGCAAGGCCACCACCTCCCAGCTGCGCCCCCCCGGGGACCACGCCTTGGCCACGTGGGGCTTTCAGCATCGAAATGGGAGCAATCTGGTTTTTTCTTTATCGAGAGCCAAGTTTTTACTGACTCATTTGTTGCATTTAGAGTATTTGCTCCTCAATGCCACCTCCACCTGAGATTCTCTGCCATGGTCCTTAACCACACGTAACTGCGCCAGGCCCTGCCGCCCTGGCACTCCCTCTCGCTGACTTCGAAGAGGCCTGGCGGGGCCCCGTCTCTCACTGCGTCAGCCTTCATTAGGTCGGTGTGGCACACGGCACAAAGGCCTCCCTTGCCTGGACACAGGCTCGTCACAGCTGAGTGCCAGTGCACAGTGGGGGGCTCGGCCCTCGTCTGAGGTGTTGGCAGCCTCACGGCCCCCTGGAGCTCAGTCATCGGACTCTGTCACATTCCAGCACGAATGCCTTCCTTGGCCAGGGGTTTCGGGGGAAGCCAGGTGTTTTGTTTTGTTTTGTTGGTGCCAGGGATGGAAGCCAAGGCCCTGCACATATTAAACTCATGCTCTCCACTGAGCTACACCCCAGCTCCTGGAGCTGATCTTGAACACGCCAGAGCCTCCGCCTCCTTGCGACTCGTTGGCAGGAGGGAAGGAGTGTGTGTCGGCAGTTAACTGCTGTGGGAAGGAGCAGGCTGGTGGTGGTAACTAAATGTTCATTTGGGCCAACCATAAGCCCCCCAGTGACGTCTGCAGCAGAGAAGCAGTTTTCTATGCAAGTCTCAAGCTCGGGACACAGGTCCCAGCTGGGGGTTTAGCTGATGAGTCCCGGTACAGAGAGATTTGAAACCAAGGAGCTGGATTAGAGGGGACTAGAGATGGAGAAGGACCGGAATAGAATCCTACACCACCCCAATATTAGGAGGCCGAGCAGAGGGGGAAGGAAGAGCAACACAGCTGTGGGACCATTTTGTATGCCACAAAAGTACACTGCATTTGGAACCGCAGGAGAGGCCGCTGCTCCTGTGGTTGGGGCATGGAGGAAGCCTTCCTCTTTGCCTTGCCATGGCGAGGGAATGTGCTTGCCCCTGAGGCATGGCTCCGGGGCAGGTGTCTGTCCAGGGAGAAGCCCCAGTCTGGTGTGACACCTGGGAGAGCTGTGGGTGACACAGGCTCTTGCTCTTCCAGTTAGAGAGCAGCCCCCAGGGTCTGCTGGGACTGAGGGTCTCTTCCTTTCTGCCTGCCCAGCTCTGCATCTGTGAAGGAGAAGGAATAGGGGTTGGACTAGATGCGATTTCGTGCATACTTTCTAGGTCCTGTATTCTTAATTTTACCTAGAGACAGATGTCCTCACCCAGGAAATTGTATTTTGTGGTTTGCGGATCAAACTCAGGGCCTGGTACATGCTAGGCAAGTGCTTTACTACTGAGCCATGGTCCCAGCCTTGACCCAGTGACATTTCCCCTCATAGTTATGGATTGGAGCTAGGCATGGTGGCACACACTTGTACTTCCTGCTACTTGGGAGGCTGAGACAGAAAGATCACAAGTTTGTGGGAGAAATGAGCAATTTAACTCTTTGATTGTTTTTTTTTGATACCAGGGATCGAACTTGAGAACTTGAGCCAGGGAGGCAGGTGACAGAACCACTGAGCTAAATCCCTGGCCCAGGAATGAGCAATTTAATGAGATAGTTTCTCAAAATTTTTTAAAAGGGCTGGGGATGAAGCGGGTGTGGTGGTGCACACCTGTAATCCCAGCACTCAGGATGCTGAGGCAGGAGGATTGCTGTGAGTTCAAGGCCAGTCTGAACTACATATTGAGACCCTGTCTCAAAAAGAGGGTGGAGTGGGGATGTAGCTCAGTGGGAGAGCAGCTCTGGGTTTGATCCCCAGTACCAGAAAAAGAATCCCACACATCAGTGCTAGGACTAACATTGGTCCAAAGCCCTTTCTGTGTATTATTTCACCACCAGCCTCTGGGTAGCCTTTGTAGCTGTCCTCATCTGCAGATCGGGAAGCTAAGAATCAGCTCAGTTACCTGAGGCTCCCACAGCTGCTACGGGCTCAGCTGGGACCTGAGTCTCGTGCTGTCTGGATTTCTTCCCCCACATGCATTTAGCATAGAAATTACACAACAGTGACATGAAAACATTTGTAAGAGCTGGAGTATGGCTCAGTGGTAGAGCACTTGCCTGGGATGCATGGGTCTCAGTTCGATCCCCAGCACCAGAAAAAACCAATTTTTTTAGTGCTTAGAAACAAGTGTTTTTTTGTTTTTGTTTTTTGCGGTACCGGGGATCGAACTCAGGACCTTGAGGTTGCAAGGCAGGCGCGGTGGAAACAGGCTTATTTTAACAAAAATACGTTTGTGCCCAGAGACCCTTGCTGCACTAGGCACGGCAGCCAGGGCAGGATCTCCAGCCGCACGTCAGCCCGTGCCCGTGGGGATCGGACCCTAAGGCCGGCTGCAATCCCAGAGGGTGAGGAGCCCGTGAGCAGCGCCCTCTTCTGGCCACCCCGGTTATGCTCTGCACTCTTGGCCCCGTAACTCCGGGCTTCTAGGGAAAAAGAGCCACAGTCTTCACAGAGAAGTAGGGGATTATCACACACCCCTACACACCTGGCAGGGCAGGGTGCACAGATGTCTCTGGTGGATTCTCCCTCTGTGCTTACGGCAAAGACCTGAGAGACAGCAGCACTCACTTCCAGTGCTCTTTCGCGTGTGTGATAGGCTGCGTACAAACTCGAGTGGGCCTGCTTTCTTTTATCATCAGGGACCAGGAATGCTGCGGTTCCCAGATAGACCACGAGGTGGCGCAGCGGTCACGGCCCTGCCCCTGTGCGTCCCCAGCGCGTGCCCCGGGGCTGCCCGCTTTCTAATCTCCCGCCCTTCTGCTGCGACAGGTGGGCGTGGTGGTGACATTCCTGGTGCTGCTTATTTTTTCCTACAATGTCATCTTCCTGTTCTCGGGGACGGCGAGTCTGGGCCTGTTCCTCAGCAGCACCTTCCCCAGCATGCTGGCCTACACCGAGGACCTCCTGCAGTACAGAGGTGAGGACCTGAAAGTCACGGGCGGGCGCGGGTTCCCCTCGGAGGGGCTCCCTCTAATCAGCGTTGTATCAACCTGTGTGATTTGGGGGCACGGAGAGGCAGTGGAGCCTCCACCTCCCCACCGTGAAGTCTGCAGACCTGCAGCGGATGGTTTGGGGTCACGTGCAAGCTGGAAATCCCAAATTCAAAGAAAAGCGAAGTTGCCTGGAAAGGCTAGGGCAAAGGCGCTGTGTAGTTTAATTAGCAATAGCAGTGCCGCTTTGCCTTGTCATTGAGGATGTTGGAAACGCAGAATAGCAGAACAAGGACTCCTCACCTGGTTTGGGGTTGATGTCACTTTGGTGTCGAGAAACCTCCACTTCCAGCTGATGTGCCTCCCTTTCCCCAGCCTCCCAGCGGCATTTAGCAAAGATCTTTTTAAAGACGAGCTCATTAAAAATAATTGTGTTTTGAACACTAAACGTCACCCTTGGAAGTAACGAGAGACGCCCTCAAGGCTGGAAAGCCAGCGCTGAGGTGAGCGAGTCTGCAGAGGATGGGAAGGCGGGGTGGGAGGCGGGCAGGAGCGGAGCTCCACCAGCTCAGCCAGCCGAAGACCGGTCAGGGCAAGTTCACAGGGAGCCCCAACTAAGCGTGTGCTGTTCCCACTGGGCATTAAGAGAAAATATTTGCTATGATAAATTTGCACATACTTTGTTTTCAAAATGGAAATTTTGTGTGAAAGTGATACAGGTTCGCTGCAGAAAACTCAGACAGAAGAGGCATATTTTAAAGCAGTAAGTGGGCACTGCACATGACCAGAGTCTCCCCCAATAGGGCGCCTGGTCACCGTCTGCTGCACCGTGACCCTGACGCCCCCTGGCCTTGAGGGCAGAAGCCGTATCTTCGGTGGTCCTCATCCACCCACCTCTCAGCTTGCAGGATGCAGTGCTGGGCACATGCCACGGGGACGGCTCTTCCCCCAGCTGGCCCTAGAGGCAGCCCCAGGACCCTCCCAGGGCCAGGCCTGAGTGCTCAGTCCCAACCCTCGAGGGCATGAATGAGTAAGGAGATGTGGTCACCACACACCACACAGTGCATCCACAGTTTGAAGCCATCAACAAGTGTTACTTTAGCAGCGATGCTGTCTGGATTGATTCTGCCTGCAGATGACCTCTGAAACCCGTTTCTTCCCATTCCTCAGTGTCCCTGCCTAAGGTCGGCTCTTCTCAGTCACTTGCGTGGAGCACGGAACAGTGCCCGCTTTCCCCCATTTCCGGTCACCCATCCCTGCCTCAGCGGGGCTTGTCTTGTCTCCTGGCCTTGCGTCTTGCCCCCTCTAACCTGGCTGGTTCATCCTTGCAGTCAGCCTGAGCGCTTGTATCAAGACCAAAGACTGGGCCTCCAAGGCTGGACGGTTCTCATGTGCAGCCAGGTGGAAGGCCCCTCCCAAGCCACCCCCACACTGCTGCAGGGGCCCCACAACTTCAGGGCTTCCTCCGGAGCCCTTTCTCCTCCAGCCTTCTCTCCCCCTGCCGCTCCCCAGAGCCAGCCTTCCAGCCCTGTGCATTACTGGGCTCTCCTCGATGGCCTCGCCAAGCCTGGAACGTCCTCTACTGTCCCTCTGCCCTCCGCTATTCTTCCAGGAAGGTTCTCTGATCACCCTGGAAAGGTCCAGCCCCTCCTCGGTGCCCCATTGCAAAAGCTGAGCAGGCTCGGAGAGGAAAGAAAATGGGATTGCTCGAGATTGGAGGAAGGGATGGGAGGGCTCTGGGGTGAGCATTCCCAAAGCAAAGCCCAAGAAGGCTGAAGAATTACAGTCCTCTCTGCCACGCCGTGTGGCGGAGCTTTCCCAGGCTTATGACAGCTGACTCCAGTAGCCCCAAGTGCCTTTCACCCAACCTAACCCTTCTCTTCCTGTTAGGCTGTGCGACCACAGTGCTGGTGACAGGAGCAGGCCTTGGCGAGATGGCCCTGCAGATGCTGGTTGGCCTGGTATGTGGGGCCCCTGGCGGGGGCCAGGCAGTACACTCTCCTCGGGGCAGGGGAGAAGACCCAGCTGCCACCTTCCCAGGCTGGGCTGGGGGCTTCTTAGTCCTGAGAAACCCGACTGGAAAGCGGGCCTCCGAATGTGGGATGTGGAGACGTGAACAGACATGTGGACAAGTCCAGAGCAAGCACAGGCCATGCCTGGGAGCTGGGCCAGAGGGGACCCATGGGAATCTGCTTGCTCTCAGGGCCCCGGGCTGTGAGCTACAGTCTGGTTCCTTTTCTGTCCCCTCTCCTGACCACACTCCCAGCCCGAGGCCAGGCTGAAGAGGACCCGCCTCCTGCTCAGCTCCTGCCCTCCCAAAGCACCCGCTCTCCTGCCTCTGCCCCAGCATGCCTGTGTTCCATCTGTTCACCAGGAAAAACACAAAAGCAAACAGCTGCCTGTTTTATGAAACAAAACAAAACAACAAAAAACAGTCCTGGAGCTTATATTCAAGGCATTCCCACTGAGCTACATCCCCAGCTTTTTTTATTGTGAGACAATGCCTTGTTACGTTGCTAAGCTGGCCAGGCTGGGCTTGAACTCACAGTCCTGCCTCAGCCTCCTGGAGGGCTGGGATTGCAGCTGTGCGCCACCACACCTGGTTTACCATCTGCTTTTTTTTGCGGTGCCAGGTATCGAACTGCTTTCGAGGCAGGCGCGGTGCCGCTGAGCTAAATCCTGGCCCTTTTTTGTTTTTGCTTTTTCTTGACCAATGTAGATACTATTCTCCTTTCTACAGCAGGCGAATTGAAACCCAGATCAATCTAGCAACCTGCCGTAGGTTAATCTCACTTCTCATAGCCAGCAGCGATGACATCAAATCCAGGTTGCTCAGTCTCCAAAGCCCCCGAGTCACTTGGTGATTCTCCTTTCCTTTCGGCCTGCTGTGTGCACAGGAGGCCACATCTCACGATGCCCTCTGAACTGAAATGGCACCAGTCTGGGATTTGCTTCAATACTAATCTAGTGCAGGGAGGAAGCGGAAGGTCACAGATGAAACTGGGCCCCGCTGACAGGAGATGGGCTGCTGTGTGGGAGTTCCACACGCTCTTTTGACGTGTGTTAAATTTGCATAATTAAAAGTTAAAGATATAGACTCTCTGCCAAGTCCAAGTTAGGCCTGTGGGGACAGAAGCATCTGGTGTGGCTGGTGTTTCAATGGTGATGCGGAGATTTTCAGAAAGCCCCAAACACAGAGCTGAGACCACGGGGTTATCAGTGCAACCCGGCCGGAGGCCCAGACTTGTCTCCGCCGGCTGTGTAACCTGGAAGAGGCCGGACCTCCTTCCTCCCCGTTCCTGTCCTGGCGTGAGGCTGCCCCAGGGCCCCTTCTGTGGGGAGCTCTAACGGCCGGTGTCTCTTTTCCCCTTGGCAGATATTCCAGGCCCAGGGCAGCTACAGTTTCCTGGTGTGTGGTGTGATCTTTGGCTGCCTGGCCTTCACCTTCTATGTCTTGCTCCTGTTTTCCCACAGGATGCACCCTGGAGCCCCCTCAGGTAGGGAAAGAATCTGTTTCCACACCGGAGGAGGAAACAGAGCTGGGCGGTGGGGGGAGGCTGTGGTGTCAGCGAGCAGAAGTGCCATTCGGTTCCAAGTAAAATGCAAGGAAATGTTTATTTTTCTCCAGCTTCCTTTCCCCTCTTCCTGCCTTCCCTGTGATTGTCTTTGCTGGGCCCCTAGGGCCAGCCCGAGTGGGACAGGCTGGCTCGCACTTCCTCCATCAGCAGAGGGGCACGGACGTGAACTCGGCTTCCTGTATCCCACCATGCCATGGCACCGAGGGCCAAGTCTCTCTCTGCCCATCCAGGGCCTGACCCACTGCCTGGCTCCCTGTGGAGCTCTGCCCAGCGGCCTAACTGGCCACCTCCTTGCCATTGGGGGTCTGACTCAGGCCCGAGTGTCTTCTGCATAAAGTCCTTTGGGCCAAATGGCAAAGAAAAGCTTCTGTGGGGCAAATATGCCTCCTAAGTGGAGCCTCCCTCCCGCAGACCCCAGGCAGGGGGAGCCACTGCCTGGGCTCAGTGTCAGGGCCCAGCCTTGCCCCCTCCGCAAGCAGCACAGTAATCACAGATGGAGGGGACAGGCACTCACAGTCCTCCCTCTCGCTGGCCACCCCTGCTCACTCAGTGCATGGCCAGAAGTGCAGGGCACCCCCAAAACAGCAGCAGGCACAGCCCTGCCTGAGATGGCAGCTACCGGTCACTGTCCAGCCTAGCAGTTGGCACAGAGCTGACACGTTCAGCCCACTGATATTTGCTGAGTATCAAACGAGTAACAAGTCTGTGTTCCTTTATCATGGAAGGCAAAGACAAATGCAGATTCCTCAACCCCTAGATTCGCGTCTCCATGAACTGCCCCCCCCCCCGAGTCATAGCAGGCTTCTAACCAGCCAGGGACAGTGGGAAGCAAACTGTGCCAGCTCTGAATCATCAATGCAGGCATCAGCCTGCAGCTGAGGATGCTGCCTGCTTTATATGGCTTTGCTCTTTCACAGTTCCTACCCAAGACAAACCACTTGGAATGGAGACCTCTGAGCGCTACCAGAGGTGAAAATGGCTTCGAGAGGTGAGCGAGGACTCCAGCCCCAGGCACCAAGGCAACCAAAGTGCTGCAGGAAGCCGAAGCTCACAGGAGGCCTCTCTCACTGCTGTGGCTTGAATCTTCTCCATTCCTACGGGGTTGGGTAGAACACACTGAATTCAGTCTGGGTACCTGGGCCTTCCCCTGGCAAATCATTAGAAGCCTGCCTGCTGATTCTATCTGCCTTCAGCTCCCCTGGTTTGGCTCTGGTACGAGCTGTCCGGGACACCGAGCTGGGAGGGCAGAAGGTAGCTGTGCATGGACCATATCCTGGGTTTGAGATCACTCTTAGTTGAAGTTTGAAAAAATAGATTGAAATTGCAAAACTTAACGATCATTGCTATATGTAGATAGATTTTAAATCAATCAAAACAAACCCCAAGTTATTCCCTGGCATGTTCCGAAATTTATGTGCTTCTTACTAAGAGTCCAGAGTCCCTCCCTGGCCACTGCAGAGGCCAAAAGTCACCTGTCTTGTAGGACAAGGGAGAGACTGAATCGTGCTCACTGGAACACCAATTCAGCGGTGTACCTGGCTAGCTCATGCCAGCTTAGATCAGTAAATCTTCAATTTGAAAGCTGGTTGTCAAACGCAGCCGTGATTAAAAAATTAACTAATAATTAAATTATATTAAATATTCAAAACTTATCACCTCCTAATCTTACTCTAGTGATGCCCCTGGAGTTACATCTGAGGGACGTGGGCAGTGGAGCTGTCACGTAACGGGGTTGCTGCCAGGCCTCTCTTCCCAGCCCTCTTGAGAGCATGCTGGTAGCTTGAAACCCACCACGGTGGGAGTATTTATGCTGCAGAAACTGGCAAAAGCTACAGATCATGGCTTTTGCTCCCACAGGGGCCAGTTCTTAAATATCTATCAGTGCTGACTGTTGCAGAAATCACCTAGGAGAATGAGCTGGCTGTTCTATTTTCTTTACTGACACTGACTGGCATATAAAGGTATAAAGAGCACTAAGAATTTTTAAAAATGTCTACTTTGGATTTTACATCTTTTATAGATGAAAAGTTTTTTATCATGTCCAGTTTTTTTTTTTTTTTGGTACCGGGGATCGAACTCGGGTCCTTGAGCTTGCGCAGTAGATGGCGAAACCACTGAGCTAAATCCCCGGCCCTCATGTCAAGGTCTTTTAACAAAAAGCTGGAACTACTGAACAATTCTAGCTGCACTCTGTACCAAAATCGTGTCCTGTCCAGGACTTTTGGCTCCTATGCAGTGCTGAGGATCATAGTTCAGGGAGGAGGCAGACTCAGCTCAGACAGGGCTGGAGGAGGAGGGGGGCTTCTGGAAGCAGGGAAGGGACTATTTGTGACTTATGGAGGCAGACAGCCATCACAGTAACTGGCTGACGTGCACTTTGTGTAAATACAAACGTACATGTATGCATCGAAACGCAAGCGGATCATGGTTCTCAGTACCTGTCCCTGGGCTGCGCCTGGTATCAAAGGTTCTTTCTTCCTGGATCTGTGTTAAGTTCGCCAGTGCTGAGCACCGCCAGGCTACAGTGCCGGTAGCCTGGCTGCAGAGAAAGCAGCTCAGCCAAGGGCCTGACCTTCGAGCTGCCTGGCCCGGGGCAGATCTGTGGGGACACTTCCAACTTCACTTTTTTTTTTTTAAACCAGTAAAGTAACATTACTAAAAGTACCCTACCTCACAGGAATTCTCAGAGAATTAAGTGAATTTGTACAAACCACTTGCTACATGCCTGACCTAGAAATTAATAAATTTTAGCAACTTTTATTTTTAAAACCTCCTCAGAAGCAGTTTAGAAATTGTTCATGTGTTTGGTACGTATTTATTGTTAAGTAAAACAGATCCAACTTCTTAGGAAAGCTTGTTGGTGATCCAGGGGTACTGTTTTAACTATGTCTATAAATCCTTTAAAAAGTATTAGATGCTAGTCAGATCTAAAATGCAACCTAATGGTAGTGACTAGCCTGGCCAAAGAGAAAGCAGTTGTATTTTTCTTGTGGTTTTTCAAGAAAATACCCTTTTTATACAGATTTAGAAAGAAGAATCAATGGTATATCTAGGCTGATCAGAATTAATTTGTTAATACAGAAAAGACTAAGACAAATCAAAGAGTACCTTTCCTAAAATAAAGTATTTTAAACTTTAAATAAAGTATGAAGTGTAGTGTCTGTCATGAAGGACAGCTGACTCTTGTATGTAAACCCGCATGTTCCCTGGAGCAATCTCTCCCGTAGGTTCCCGTGGCCCATAGGTGTTCCCGTTTGGTTTTGTGTTTTGCAGGGCTGGGGATGGAACCCAGGCCCTCACACCCGCAAAGCAAGTACTCTACCACCAAGCTATAGCCCCAGGCCTCATGGCTGATTCTTAGAAGAAAACTCCAGGCCTAAGGCTGAGAGCTCCTACTCTCTCCTCCCTGTAACTGAATAGGGAAAGGCAGCTAGGTTCTCACACCACAGTCCAAACTCAGCCACAGGGCCAGGGATTTAGCTCAGTGCCTGCTGTGCAAGCGCAAGGACCAGAGTTCAATCCCCAGTACCAAAAAAAAAAAAAAAAATGCCTGATGGAGCACATCCCATGCCCAAGGCTCTGTTCTAAGAGCCATTTCAGCCCAGTGAGAAGTCCCTGCCTCACAGGGATGACATGGTTGAAAACAGAAACAGGGCCAGGATTTAGCTCAGTGGTTTCGCAGCCTGCCTTGCAAGCACAAGTTCCCAAGTTTGATCCCCAGTCCCCCCACCCCTCAAAAAAAGAAAACACAGAAACAGCAAAGAAACGCCTGTTAAGCCGTAGGGTGAGCAGTAGTAGAATCGCATACCAGAAATAAGCAGGGAGTGTCAGGATATGCCATGGAGACCCCACTCAGGGACCTGGGAGTGCGTCTATCAGACGGCACAGGGCAAGCTCAAGGGCCGTAGACTGGAATATGCTCTGTAGAACTGGAGAACAGCAAGCAGGCAGTGTGGCCCAAAATGCAGCGAGGAAGAGGACAGTTGCAGGGAGGAGAATGGAGTACAGAGGGGCCAGCTGGGACAGCAGGCCAATAGCAGTGTGGGTGGGCTTGTGTGACATGGGGTTACCAGGAGAGGTGCAAGCAACACGTCTGGTGCTCGTGTTTCCACGTCTCTCTGGTTGTTACGTGGAGGAGACAGCAGGGCAAACGTGGACCTGGGAAGACCAGCTCGGGTACTAGAAGAGACGACAGTGGTCTGGACCAGGTTTGGTAGCATGAAGTGGGGGGAGTAGGTGGGTTGAAGCTTAATTTTGAAGGTCAAGCTGAGAGTTTGTTGAATTGCGTTAGGTATTAAAAGACAGATGGAGCTGGGTGTGGTGGCACAGGCCTCAGGAGGCTTACTTAGGCAGGAGGATGGCTGAGTTGAAGGCCAGCCTGAACTACAGTGATACTGTGTATCAAGAAACGCCCCCCAAACAGGAAGAAGTAAAGAATGATGGAAATCAAGAATGACCCCCTAGGCATTTGACCCCAGTCACCGATTATGATGAGGCTATTGGAAGGCCTTGGGGTTGCCGAGTTGTTTGCTTTGCACATGATCATTTTACAATGCTATCTTAGATGTCAAGAAGACAGATACATCCAGAGTTTAGGGATGAAGATCTGAACGTTGTGGTTACATACACACACAATGTTCAAACCGTCTAGGGAGTAAATGCAGAGAGATCAGAACATTGAGCCCTGGGGTCTTCAACTCCTAAAGATTCAGAAAAAGGACAATCCAACAGAGCAAGTGAGAGAAGCTGGAGGTGGGAAGAAATGTGGTTTCCTGAAGGCGTGTGAAGAGCATCTCAGGAAGGAGAGGGAAGAATCAGAGGTGCTGCAAGCACTAAACAACCAGCAGCGTCCTTGGCGACAGACAGTGACCCTGGCCAGAGAGGGCTTCAGGAAACTGCAGTAACGAATTCAAAACACACAAGAGTCACAACAGCTCTGGCACTCAGCAACCCTTAACACCAGGGCTGCCACTGACCTGCACAGCCTATACGGGTCTCACGCCTGCTTCCTCCTTCAACACTGTATGCCGCCGTCTTACTTTAATGCCTCGGTCATTTCCTGGACTCCCTGCTGTCACGAGGTGCAGCAAGGTGCTATGTGAGGACAGTGTGCGCTCTCACAACTGTTCGTGCCCAGCTCCTGCCTGATGATGCCAGGCCTGGAAAGTGACCGTGTTAGGGTATCGGTGTGTCATCACACGCATCTGTGAAACGGAAAACACTAGGAACTAAGCATGCCACAAAAGAGGAAGTGTTAACAGGGGAAAGGTTAGAAAATACATAATGGCTTCCACAAGCTTTATAACTAAAAGACCTGAAGCTTCTTAAAATGCATTTGGCTCCAGAGCCTGAAGCCCCCATCTGTCAACCTTGCCTGAGCTCAGGGCACAAGCTCCCCAGGGAGCGCTCAGAGTGGTGCTTCAGGGGCCTGGGGGGTCCCTCCGTGCCCGCGCATGCTCACTGAGGCACCACTCGGCCTCTCACCACAATCGCATTGTTGCGCTCTGGTATTTCCATCTGAAGATGCAAAACCACTCTCTCTGATGAGGTTTTGCCGCCCATTAATCCCACTTTTCCCTATAGATTATTTCAACCCAGTTCTGAAAAGGTCCATTTGTTTTGCTTTTTTTCCTCTCTTTTTTGAGATAGGGTCTCGCTACGAAGTTCAGGCAGCCTTGAACTCACTGTGTAGCCCAGGCTGGCCTCAAACTCATGGTGATCCTCCTGCCTCAGCCTCCGAGTGCTGGGACTACAGACATTCGCCACACACCCAGCTAAAGAGATCCATTTGATAAATAAACTGAAGACTCCAATTTTAGATCTCAAAAAACCATACGAAGAAACAGTGCTAGAAGGGAAATAAGCAAAAGCTGCTCCTTTCGAAAGATACAATAAACCATCCGATTAAATTTTTTTTTTTGGGTACCAGAGATCGAACTCGGGTCCTTGCGCTTTCGAGGCAGGCGGCGGCAACACTGAGCTAAATCCCCAGCCCTGACTAAATATTTTTTAAGACCCATTTAAAATAATGAGATTTTACACGATTACTAGTTTTTCTAGTCAGTCAGTTCTCGTTCAGTTCCTTTTATGCCAAAGATCATTTTACAACTGGCCCTCTCACCCAGCGTCCCAAGCTGGGCTTTAAATATTCCGATGTGGATACAATCACCGAGAGGACCAGGTGTCAACAACGGCCTCTGGGACAGCGGAGTTCTTTCCTGACCACAGCTAGCACAGATGAAAATGCAACCCAAAACACTGTTTCAACGGATGTGAGGGAAGCGAAACAAACAACCCACCAAGAAAAGCATTTTGGTAAAAATATTTATTTAAAAAAATACAATTGTTGTCCCTGTCTAGGTGCACATATATCTACTGACATATCTGTATAATTCTGAACTTACAGTAAATCTGCTATAGTGCTTTTTTAAAGCCGGCTTGGCTCTTGCATTATACAAAGCAAATTCCTGTCAGATCTTACATAAAAGTTTTTAAAAATGCATCATTTTTCTTAAAAGACACATATCACCATTACAGAATTTAACAAAATTTTTTTTGCATAAAACTTGGGAAGTGATAGAAAAAATAATCACCCAACTGGTTATTCAGAGCAACCCCTTACAATGTCTGGAGATGCCCTGAGTGTGAACCACGCGTTTTTCTTTTAAAAGCAGCATATAATAAATCCCTCAAAGTGCCAGCATATCCTTTCCCTCACTGACCTAAACTATGGAATTTCTCTGCCACACACACAGGAAAAACTCAGGCCTAGCTACAAACATCCTACCATCAACCTTATCTTAAAACAACATCCCTTTTGGGCCGGGGATTTAGCTCAGTGGTTTTGCTGCACTTCGCCAAGTGCAAGGACCAGAGTTCGAACCCCGGTACCAAAAAAACCAAACCAAAACAAAACAACATCCCTTTGTTCCCCAATGAGCTACATATGGCAGTTTCTGTCCAGCTGTGTTGACAATTAATGTGAATTTCAATAACTGTCAGCAGATACCATTTTAATTTGCTTTTTCAGGAAAAGGGAAAAGTGGTGATTTTGATATTTTGAAGGTCTTTCTAAATAAAGTGAACTGAAATTAAGACACGTTATTAAAAACACAATCATCCTTTTGGATAGGTGTGCACTTGCACTGTATCTAAATACTTATAAAGTGATTGATTCTAGACATTATGAGATACAGATTTCAATAAAATAAACAAGGAAGTAACTGCCTTCTCAATTGAGCTGAGCATGGGGACAAGTTCATGCACAGGAAATAATACTGCTCCCCTGTGCTAAAGTGGAGACTCATGCAAGAGTCCCATGGTAGACCTATGCTTTTTTTTCTGAATTACAGATTAGCTAAATGAAAATCAAAAGTTTGTTATTTTGGGCCGGGGATTTAGCTCAGTGGTTCTGGTGCCTGCCTCATAAGCGCAAGGTCCCAAGTTTGATCCCCAGTACCAAAAAAAAAAGATTGTTATTTAAGATCTTAATTTTTCATTTGTTTGAGGTTTTTTGTCTTGTTTTGGGTTTTTTTTTGTCTTGTTTTGTTCTTTTGGTACCGGGGATTGAACTCGGGTCCTTGCGCTTGCGCAGCAGGCAGCGAAACCACTGAGCTAAATCCCCGGCCCTGTTTTGTTTTTTTGAGACAGGGTCTTGCTATATGAAAAGGAAAATTACTAGTTTATTCTTCAAAATGTAAATTTAAGCTGGGCATGGTGGTGCATACCTGCAACCTCAGCCACTCAGGAGGCTGAGACAGGATGGCTTGAGCCCAGGAGTTTGAGGCCAGCTTGGTCAACACAGTGAGACCCAGGCTCAAAACAAACAAACAAACAAACAAAACAAAAAAGAAAGTATGTATGTTACACACTTCTCTTTCAAGGCTAATTTGATTATTTGGTGAGTAAAGGGCATAATTTTAAGAAACTCATTTAAATTAATCCTCCGTACCCACAAAGATAATGAAACTGCTAGAAGGCCAAAGTGAAAACATTGATATGACTGTGACTGGAAAAGACTCAGGGCCAAATCAAATATAGGCCTCCAGAAGATAAAAGGTTAATTGCATTAATGTCTTTTCTATCTTTACATATATGCATCTTAGTTAATTTCACTAATACTGAGCAGGGAGGTTCCTGAAACATGCTACTCTATTACATAAAGGATGAATGTAAGCAATGAATGTATATACAAAGGCCACAGGTAATACTGCCCCAAACAACAAGAAACTGAAATGTCTCAGAAGGAACTGTGTGGGTCCCCTACATTACAAGCAATAAGCAACAATGTTTAAAGAGGAAAAGGGAAAAAAACCCTCATTCATTGGGTACTTTTCAATTTCAGTGTAACCTATCAATTGCAAATCTTTTAAAATCATAAATTTCTATAAAACACAGTATTAAAAGCTTATAAAGGATTGTAAAACACTCTAGCCAAAAGAACATACCTTACTGAGCTCAGAAGAACGGATCATTGGGTAATCCATTTATCCTTTTCCCAAACACTCTGAAGTTCCCCAAAACATAAATGAGAAAGAAGTTTTACTTCCCTGACCCTCAATATCCTCAAGTTGAAATTAAACAAAATAATTAAGTGCTTCCAGTTATTAACAAAACAGTGCTAATAATGGTGCCCAAGAAAAGTGCTAAGTGACTTAACACCAGTATGTGGCATTGCCACCCTGTCCAGAATGATCCCAGGCCGGCCAGCGCATGGCTCATATTCTTTGGAAGGGATGAGAATGGACCGGGCCTTTATGAGATGGGAAACAGGGCAAACCTGAGAAGACCACTTAGCCCCAGATAATCTTCCTTCAGGCTTCTGCTAATACAACTTATGTACAGTTTAAAAGGGTAAATTAAGTCACAAAGCCAGAAATCCCCCTCTACTGTAATAATACATGGTCACATTTCTGTATTTCAGAAATACTGCTTCTAGTATAAACCTCCTCTCTGAAAAACTTAACCCAATCTAATAAAGATTTTACATAAAAGCAAATGAAAATATAGAAATTTAAAGAAAGGCCATCCTTATTTGCTCACTAACACATGAACATAATAGAATAGTTTTGGATGACTTTTCAGAATGCATCACATTTAAGTGCTGTACTTCTAAAGCTGTTAGTTTTAAGGCCTATCATTCTATACATTTACAAACTGAAATGTGCAAGGCATTAATCTTTAAAAAGTAGCAACTGCAAAGTGCAGCAAAATTTTTAGTTTTAGTATAAAATAGCCTAAGAGCCATCCTAGTGTAGAGGATGGATATGTTCCCTCTGAAAAACAAACATAAACACATGCACTCTCTCAGTCAATATACAAGCACATATATGTACTCAGCCAGTACATCAGAATGACTTAGAAATGAGCTAGTCTCCCAATGAAATATGTCAAAGTATATATTTAAATCCCATAAAAACTTCCTGGTATCTATTACACTCAAAGATTACCATTTAACAGACTCACTCGGTTTGTAACCCTTATGAATCTCCTTGTTAAAGGTTTCTTTCTTTCTTTTTTTTTTTGGTACCGGGAACTGAACTCAGGACCTTGCACTTGCAGGCAGGGAGCACCACTGAGCTACCTCCCAGCCCTAAAGGTTTCATTTTAAATTATGGTGCAGTGCTCCCCTAATATGTGCAGGGCGCTGGCTTCCATCCCCAGTGCCACAAAATAAATTGGTAACAATATCCTGAATGTCCTTGGGTGTCTGTAGAAAGTTTAAAGCCAACATCCCCTGTCACACAAACCCTTTAGATTTGTCTTTCACAATGGCTAAGTATGAACCAGCACCCTAAAAATGGCTACTTTCTGACAGGATATCCACGTTACACTTGTTTCAGAAAAGCAGCTTAAAGAACCCCACAGCCTAAGAGCCAGCAGCTGGAGGACACTCACGCTACCAGCAATTCACCTCTCAGACCTGTTGCACTTACAGGTCAAAGCACGACTGCGATAGTACAGGTTCCACCAACCACAAGAAGTGAGATCGGACTCCTTCTCTTGTTTAATACAACACCACCCACAGGGATTCTACACTCCCAGACTAAAATTTCACCTTCAGGAAGCAGAGTTCCAGTGACCCGAGAGGAGCAACAAACAGGGCACCTCATTTCAGGCAATGCCAGCGTTGAAAAGAAAAACAAAACATTTCAGAAGATGACTAACTAAATACTTTCCACAGAAATCATTCTCTGGTCAGACTACCTGCTGAAGAAAGCCAGTTGTGGTGACTTCCACTTCATTTACTGCTGTGGATCAACCCGTCAGAAACAGCATCTCCCGGCGTACTCCCAGATACCAACCCCAGGAGGAATACTTGCTAATGTTCCTGCTGGTTTGGGGATTCCCCGGAGCTCAGAGACTGGCTTCATCCCACACTTGCTCCCACACTGAAGGATTCTGGCATAGGTAAATAAAACATATAGTAAATAAAGGGATAAAAAACAGGCTATCAAGAAAAGTATTCCTTCAGATGCTGAAATGTCACCCCCCAAAATTTAAACTTACAGCAAAAAAAGTGGAAGTTGTATATTTTAGCATAAAGCAACGTGAAATATTCTGAATTTCTTGGCAAAATATAAGGTTAAGTCTATAAGCAGAATAGCAAGATAAAAAGTCACACCTAACACAAAGATGACAGAGACAACAGGCTCTTAAAAATAATATGCATGGAGATCTGGAAAACATTTGGTAATGGGTCATTTGGCAACTTATGAAAAGAATTAGTCCAAATTTCAAAAACTGATGACAACCTCTTCTGGGATTTTCCCATATATCACACAAAAAAAGAATCCTACACCTTTGCCAAGATCCAACCGAAGATTCGGAGTCCAGGACCCTAATGGAGTGAACGTGTGCTGCAAGGCGCACTGGCCTTGCCAGGCTGACTTCACACGCCACACTTCGTCTGTGTGTGCATTCTGAATTGCATGTGTTACTTTAAAAGCAGTATGAACAACTTAAGTACATGTGAACTTGAAACAGGGAAAGTTTTTCTGTTCAAAAACTTTTATACTTCAAGGTGTGTGTTCTAAAAGGCTGGGGATGCTTTCTTGAAACACCACTGGGTGCCTTTAAAGGTGCTCAAATCACCAGAAACAAAGCTGCTTTCTGAGAACTTCAGACTCATCATCAGATTCCGCCATCAGGATGCAGCAACACTGCTGGACCAGACACCTGTAGTGCGATGCGGGACGCAGGAGCGAGGCAGCTCCAGCCTCCACATCCCTGCTTCAAGCAACAGCCATCCAGCCTCAGGGTTTTTATCTCTAATTTCATATGTAGATCTTCAAAGAATTCTCCAGTTAAAATCCAGTAAGTCTCATAGGCGTACTTTTCCCATCAAAATTTGAAGGAAAAAAATTTTTTTTATATATAAACTGTCAAAATGTGGGGAAAAGGTAAACCTATATTTTAACTCTTTTTTTTTTTTTTTTTTTTTTGTACCAGGGATCAAACTCGGGACCTTGTGCTTGCAAGGCAGGGGCTAGAACCACTGAGCTAAATCCCCAGGCCCTATATTTTAACTCTTTTGGGGGGCTAGGGGGTACCAGGGATTGAACTCAGGACCTTGAGCTTGTGAGGCAGGCAGCAGAAACACTGAGCTAAATCCTCGGACCCTATATTTTAACTCTTAAGAAGATTAAGCCTGATCTTTCGGGGGCCTCTGGATTTTTAAATTATATATACTTTTCTTAATGGAAATTCCTAACTTTGTTGAATCACAAAACATGCCTTTTAGAACATCATAAAAGCAGTATGGTAAACCTTTTTTTAAGACTACTGAAGTCAGACTTGAGATTTTAATTTTTAAAAATCAGCATATGAAGGAGAAAAATACATTTTATAACTCATGTGAAAAGCCACCCCACGGTGGAGTCCTGCAGTGGTTCACTGGCCCCGGCTCTGAGCACATCCCTTCTTGACTTCAAGGTGAGGACTGAAAAACGGCCACAGGGCGTGGTGTGCTGGCTGTCTCCCTGCCCCTGAAGGTCCTCCTGGTTAAGCAATTTCTAGCACCTGGCTGAGTGGAGAGCAGCCGAAACGGAAGAAAAACTACAAGCTCACAGGAGAGATCTCAAGACGTCACACAGCCTGCTCCCTCCTTCACCTCAGGTGGCCTCTGCCCAACAGCTCACCCTGGCGAGTGATGCGGCCAGACACCGGCTGCAGGCACCCAGGGTAATTTCCCTGGCAAGTACAGGCTGTACAAGGTATTCACCTTCTGAAGCTAACAGGAAGTCTATGGATGTTCAAAAGAATATGAAGCTGAAGCTTTTCCAGGAAGGACGTAATCCACAAATGGAACTGTTTGCCTCATACATTGACTAAGGTTGTAAATTGACTTAAAAAAGGGACACGGACATGGACACACACACACACACACACACACACACACACACACACACACACACTGGCGTACGCTTACCCTAATTAGCTGATCTCAAAGAAAAAGCAGATCATCACCTCCTAAGGCCTCACACCTCTGAGAGGCTTTTGGCTACAGGCTTATAGAAAAAGGACTCTAAACCCGCATCCCAGGAAGTTGCTCTGACTGAGTTTTAACAGTGCCCTTGGTTCCAAAGTACTTCTAAACTGAGACAGTAAACCATTAAATATATCATCTGTAAGAACAAACCAATGGCTTTCTTCCTTTAATTCAAAGAGATAAAAATACTTTTGTGCTTTCAGAATTTAAAACATCCAGTTAAATCAGCCATCAATATTTACTTACTGTACAAAATGTTAACCTAATAAAACTATTACAAAGTGCTGCTGAGGGATCTAATTTCAAAAAGGCATGCAAACTAAATAATTCAACAGGGGAAAAAGCAGTTCAATATGTCTGTTCCCATCACTACTGAACACTTCCTCTCAACACTACTATTGCACATCTTGGGAAGAGAACCTGCAGCTGACAACCACAACTGAAACAGTAACAGGTCTCCAATACTGCCATCCAAAGGCAGCTCACTGAGCAGCCCCTCCACAACTAACGATTCAGCTGAAATGCCTTACCCAGGAGCTTCTCTGCACTGTCTGCAAGTAAATTTAAAGTGAATACTGTGTATCTAGGAGACGCTGATTTGTATCAGTGTCATTTCAAGCCCTCAAATCCTTACCCCTTCATGCTGCTTAGCTCGTGACTCAGTTATAGGGTTAAAAGTCGTGCAACCTACCGCCCAGAGATGCCGTCCGCACGCTGACGGGCACAGGCAGAAGACCCTCAGAGAGGCTAACAAGATGGAGCTGATTTTGGACTTTCAGCTTCCAAAGCTGAAAGTGAGCCAAATAAACCTCTTTGTAACTTAAACAAAAACTAGTTCAGTGGCATGGTGGTAATGACAGCATATAATTTAGGCCTGGACTTAAAAGCCAAATTTTTCAAAGGATCCAATGTGTCACTGGTACCAATTCAGTCTGGGAGGTCGAAAGATTTGTCTGCACCTCGCACAGATTACCATATGGTAATATTTTATAAATGTGAGCCGGGTGTGGTGGCGCACGCCTATAATCTCAGCACTCAGAAGGCTGAGGCAGGAAGATTACCACGAGTTCGAAGGCAGCCTAGGCTACACAGTGAGTTCAAGGCCAGCCTGAACTACATAGTAAGACCCTGTCTCAAAAAAATAAACAAAAATTTATAAATCTGGTAATACAGAGATAAAGGCGTACATTTTCTAATGCTAATTAAAACAATCCAATTCCTATGTATAAATATTACCAAATGAACTGATCCTAATAAAAAGAAAACACTGAAAGACACAAGCACACGTCTCATTACTGACTGAAGGTTTCACTCTGCATTCCACCTTCCTACTGACATTTTAATACTGTTACAACCTCTAACAGCTTCAGATTTAGAAGGAAAGGTGATAAACATACAGCAGAAAATGGGGTAAAAGGAACAGAAATGAGAAAGGGTCCCTCAACCAGGGAATCTTCTAACTGGGACAAGCCCTTAATGTTGTTCCAAGGTATTCAACTCAACCTTTTACTTAGAGAAGCTTCCAATTCTCAAAACGAAGTCCATCCTGCTAAAAGTCATCCCTGATGATGTTGTGCTCCGTAGGTATAGAATCACCAGAGGGAAGGTGGCCTTTCTGTGCTTGTCTCCCAGATGGTCTAAGGGCCACCTCAAATCCCAGGCTTAAAGCTCTTATGCTGAAACAGATGAACTCCACGTGGTGCTCCTGAAAGGTGAAGATGAGATCTAAAGCACAGCTAGGAGACCCCTGCAACCTTGTGAACAGATGCCTTCCGTGGAACTGCTTCTACATGCTGCAGTTCACGGCAAAACAGTCTGCACAAATGGTACTGCTCCAATCTTATTTTGTATGAATAGGAATGGATTATTTTTCTCCCCCTGCTTATAAACAGCTCACTTTTACTCATTCAAAAGAGCACACTCAGTCCTAAAGACACAGCCAATTTCATTTAACTAGTATTTCTTAAAATAATAAACTCTAAGCACAGTTTTCTCCTAGCCAAAGGATCCTGATAGTCAGAAGGAGTAACTTTGTTCTTAATCACTTTTGCAAAGCACAGCTGTTAAACCCCACCAAAATTACTTTAGCACTTAGCTTAACATAAAAAAGAAGAAAGGGATGTGGAGGTGGACTCCAATTAAGGCATTTCACACAGTCTAACTTGAAACCTATTCGAAGAGAATCCTGAAAAAGTTGTTTCAGTGGGAAATGGCAAAAATCATAGCTTCTCACTCCAACTTCTCACTCCAACGCCACTGGGGTGACTGTCTCTCCATTTGTGTGCTCCTCAGGTCTCTCAGGCCACAAGTGCATAGATTATATCTTCTGCAGGTCTGGGGAAAACGGCCCAGGAGTGGAAGGTCCATCCAGGCCAGACAGGGTGAACGGCCCATGACTGTTCAGTACAGAAGGAAACTGGGAGAGAAAGGAGAACACATTATCATCCCGTTACTCGATTCCAACTTTCACTTTCTGTATTACTATATCACCTGAGGCAAAATACGACAGCCTTCGGTAGTGGCTCAAAGGACAAACGCAGTCACCATTAGTGATGGAAGAGTATGATGGAGGTAACAGAAACTTTAAAAAATGTTATTTAGGCTGGGGATTTAGCTCAGTGGTTCCACCACCTGCCTTGCAAGTGGAAGGATCCGAGTTTGATCCCCAGTACCAAAAAAAAAAAATGTTATTTGCCCTGAGATATTACATATTAACTCTCTCCAACCGACCTCAATGGAGTGGGAACAAAGAATGATCCTTTACCTTCTGTTGTATCTGGTACACAGGGTCAGTTAGCCTCAATGAAGGCTGCAGGAAGCCCAGTAAATGGCAACATGCACTAGAGTGGTATTCAACTGTAAAGGAAGTTCTGACCCTCAAAGAGAGGTTCAGAAAGGTCAGGTGGAGGTGCTCATTCCAGAAAAGGCTTCCCCATTATGCATTCTGAGACCCTGCATGAGAAAGTCCAGCTAAAGCTACAGGAGCATGACTTTGCCTAAGGTCTCAGATCACGCCATCTCTCAATTATCTGTTGGGGAGAGCAAAGAAAAATATAAAAATGAAATATGGAAAATTCTCAATTCTTCCCATTCAGTAATTTAGGAATTTTTTAACAAAAAACAGTGGATGAGGAAAGAGTGTAGCTCAATGGACCGGATGCCTAGCAAACATAAGGTCCTAAAGTCAATCTCCACACCACCAAAGGGAGGGATAATACGAATATAAACCCCTGCCCCACCCCAGGAGTACTGGGGATTGAACCCAGGACCCTCACACTGAGATACATCCCCAGCCCTTTTTCTAATTTCTCAAGACAGGGTCTGGCTAAGTCACTAAGTGGCCCAGACTAGGCTTCAATATGTGATCCTGCTGCCTCAGCAACCCAAATTACTGGGGTTACAGGTGTGCATTACCATGCCTGGCTACCACATCGTATTTGTTGTTGTTGTTTTGGTACCGGGAATCAAACTCACACTTGCCAGGCAGGCACTGTGCCACTAAGCTACATTTCCAGCCCCTACATCTTTTTTTTTTTTTGGTACTGGGAATCGAACTCAGGACCTTGCGCTTGCAAGGCAGGCACCAGAACCACTGAGCTAAATCCTTGGCCCTACATCATATTTTTTTAATTGTTACTTTGGAGTGTACTCCTACTTATAAAAAGTTTACTGTTGGGCCAGGGATTTAGCTCAGTGGTTCCGCCACCTGCCTCACAAGTGCAAGGTCCCGAGTTTGATCCCAGGTACCAAAAAAAAAAGTTTACTGTTATGTGATATAGTGCTTGCCACCTTCATACACCTTGTGGTTGTCTTGTGTACCCTGTCTCCTGACTGCGTTGTTTTCCCTTGCGTTCACACACACACACACACACACACACACACACACACACACTAGATACTCCAGGTGTGTAGTGGGCTAGATCATATAAGTCTGCCCACACAAACTTCCAAGTCACCCAGCAGTGAATGCCTTTCTTAGAACGTGTCCTCCATGGCCATTTGTCTGTATGCATTTGGATAGGCACATAGAGTCGGTCACTGACTCACGCTGCCTCAACTTATGATAGTGCTAAAGTCCCATGCATTCAGTAGACACCGTGCTTTGAATTTCCCCCTTTCCCAAGATGACAATATGCACAGGATATTCTTGTGCAACAGAGAATGGCAGCTTCTAGTCTACCACTGCATCACAAGGAAAACAACTAACACTACAACATATTGTGCTGCTCAGCAAGGATATTCTGTAAGTTAGGTACATTAAACACATGTCAACAATAGTTTCAACTTATGACGGGGCTAATACATAAGCACATTTCAAACTGAGGAGCATATATATATTGCTTTGTTTATGAGATGGGGACTGATTACACTGCCCGCGCAAGCCCCAAACTTCTGGGCCCAAGTGACTCTCCTGCCTCAGCCTCCGAAGTAGCCACCACACTCATATCACACGCACGCACACACACACAACACACGCACGCACACACACACACACACGGTTGTAAACAAAGGCTTTCCAGTGTTTCAAAGGATGACAAATGTGGGTGAGCTCGAAATCTAGCTACCAAGGAACAATTCCTGGTCACGTGTACCAGTCAACTATGAAAAGGAAACTTGGCTGCATATATTTATCCAAGCTGTCTGCCAGCAAGAAAATTAACATTTAGAAATTAAAAAATAAAATCCAAAAAATATTTATTAAATATAGTTGCATAATGATTAAACAAAAGAGCAGGACACTGACATTCTGGCTGCTTCCTCATTTAACCTCCCCCGACCACCCAAGACAGACTGTGATGGAATTACCTGGAAAAGTGTGTTAGCACCTTGCAGTCTGGCTGGACTCAGGGGAGCAACGGGGCTGAGAGTGCTCCAAAAGTGGATGCTGGAGAGCAAGGGGCTTGGCGTCAAGAGGATGGGTGTCTGCAATACACAAAAACATCCTCGCACTCACTAACAGGGTTCTGCTTTATCCTTGCAACAGTACGAACAGTCAGGCTGCAAATACATCTCTGTACAAACTGAGCCCAGATACTGTGTTATTCTCCACTCTGAATATCTCTAAGACTAAAGTGTTACCATGATGAAAAACTTAAGACATCGCTTTATATCGTAAGAAAGATAAAGGTCAAAATAACAACTTTTTAACCCAACTTTTATAGGGTCCTTGGAAAACAGAAAAACCAACTTGAATTCAGGGACAGAGGAATAATGGGAAGCTGAGTCAATTCATGTTCTACCTCTAATAATGAGCCCATCTGGAGCGCTCTATTAAAATGTTCTGCAAGATGGGCAAGTTAATGAGTATCTACTGTAACTAACCCATCCTGTTCTTCAACACCGCATCTGTCCTTTGTTTTAAAGTTCTGGGGACTCACTGTTTTCTAACAGCACTGCTGGGGGTTGGGGAGAACTTCTTTAGGAAAAAGTAGAAAAACCAGAATATTTATTTACTTTAGAAAAATGCATTTTTAAAGACAATACTCCAAACCTTTTATTTTGGCAATCCTGAGGTGAGGAATTAGGCTTTCACGGGTTACCTTTAACCTTTCTAAAACAAACCTACATAACAAGTGTAAATTCTAGATCTGCTTTAAAAGGTGAATGGATACAAGCAGAGGACTAAAAGCACGCGAGCTACCTGCGAAAACAGCGCTGGTGTAAGAGAAGCTGTAGGAAGAGAAGGGCTCAGTATTCCCAGCGGGCTTGGGTCACTGCCTGTGATCACAAGGGCAGGCGCCAGTTCTAACCCTTTGGGCTTCTTGGATCGTGATGAATGATTCACTTTGTCCTTTTCTGGCAAAGGTGAACCCTCGTCTTTGGGCTCCAGAGACAAGTTCTCTGGAAGCTCCATTGGCTGGGAAGCCACCGAGTCAATGTCTGTGTCGATGTCTGGGTTGGAACTCAGTGGAGGAGAGGGTGTCCTGGGAGGCTCCTTTGAGGGAGGGGGCGCAGCTGGAACGGGAGGAGTGGGAGTAAAACTGGCAGCCATGGTGGACGCAGAGGCTGGGTCCTCCAAGGAAGGCAGCTTTGGGGAAACCAGCGTCTCTAATGCTTGGATGGTTTCTTCAGAAGATGAAGACATAGCTGGGTCAGTTGAAGTGGTGGCAGCGACAGGTTGAGGGGGTGGTTTCTTGGAAGGTGTTGTCACAAATCTGATGACAGATGGTGTTGGTTCCTGAGATTTCTTCTCTGCCAGTTTCTCAGCAGGATTCTCCACCTTTATTGACTTGAAGAGCTTTTTACTGGAGGTGCTCAAAGAGTTGAGAGTAAATGAGGAGTACAAGCCAGAGTGGATGTAGTCATTGCGGCTGGAGGTCTTGGCACCGGGCTGAGGTCTCTCTTTGGGCCCGTTCTCCATATCTTTGGAAGTGCTGCCAACATCACTGCAGTTCAGAGCTTCAACATCTCCCTCAATCTTGCCCACTGTCATTGGATCCATTTTCAGAATCTTTGGATAAGAGACAAACTTGTACACAAACTTCTGACCATTCACTTTTTTGATGATATTCTATAGGTAAAGAAAATAAACATTCATATACTTTTTTGTAAACTTACATCCCACAGCTCATGAAAAACCCTACATAATGAGGCTATTTGAGAAGTAGGCATAGCATACTTACAAACTTCAAAGTCAGCTACATTCATCGAGCTAAACGGTCCCTATTATGGAAAAGTTAAAGCAAGAACATTCAAATTAGCAAGTGAACTAATCTGTAACATAAAAATGAATAGTCTGAGGATGGTGATATAGCTCAGTGTGAGAACACTTCTGCAGCATTTGCAATGTCCTACATTCTATCCCCGGGACTATATTTAAAACAAAATAAAGCTGAGAATTTTAATTGCTGGACTCTGTCAACCAAATATCTATATTAAGTCAGAACTCACTGAACTGCAATCTTAAGTAACGCCAAAGGTACAAGCCATAAGCATCCCAAGTAAAAAAGAATTTGTTTGTTTGGTTTTTGTTTCTTTAGCGAAACATTTATTGGTATATTCTAGATATACATAATGATAACATTTATCATAGGGAATCTGTACCTGCACAAGGCACATGCAAAAAGGAATTTAGAACATTACAATTGTTCAGGTTCCCACTTTCATCAGAAATTCTGGTTGATTTCTCTCTCTCTCTCTCTTTTTTGGTGGTACTGTGGATAGAATGAGAGCCTGAGTATTGAGCTACATCTCCAGCCCCCTTTTTGGTATTTTATTTTGAGACAGGGCCTCACTAAGTCGCTAAGTTGACCAGGCTGGGATTGAACTTCCTATCCTCCTATCTCAGCCTCCTAGAATGCTGGGATCACAGCCATGTACCATCACACTCAGCTTGATTTGTTGTTGTTGTTGATTCATCTATTTATTTACTTATCCATCCATCCATCTCTACACCCATTCATTTATTTTTAGATCATCTGCTATGTTGCCCAGCTGGGTTTCACACTCCTGGGCAAGGAAAAGAGGGGTTTTTTGTTTGTTTGTTCATTTGCTTTCTTCCCTCAGTTTATCAGTACAAGTGTGCAGTACAGAATGTTTCCATTCCTTGTGGGAAGTTGGTACATGTACATAACACATCCCGATTCCTTTTCCTCATCCCTCATCCTTTCCCTCCACTTCTTGATTCCCCCTTCCCCTTTGAGAAGGGGAGATTCTCCCTACTTCCTGTTATGTATCCTCTCTTTCTTTTTGGTACCGGTGATCAAGCTCAGGACCTTGCATTTGCCAGGCAGGCGCAGGGCCACTGAGCTACGTCCCCAGCCCTACTTATCCATTATTTTGCTTCCCAGCTTGACTTTCTTCTCAGCTCCATACAGAAAAGCTTGTAAGATTGGTTACCTGAAGGCAAAAGAAAGAGCTCAGCTTCCTACCCCAAGTCTTCCCCTTGGAGCCTTTATTTTCCTTGATGCCCAAGGATGTATTCAAAATAATACCATACCAGTTGGATGTGGTGGCACAGGCCTGTCATTCCTTCACTAAAAAGCCTGAGGCAGGAGGATCACTGTAAATTCAAGGCTGGCCTGGGCTACATATGAATTCAAGATCAGCCTGAACTACACAGTGAGTCCGTCTCAAAAAACAAAAAATCAAAACAAAAGAAAACAACCAAGTAAATTATGACATACACAAGAATATTTATCCTTAAGCGTCTCATCATGCCTGTTCTGTATCCCTATCTTGTACTTTTTCTTATAAAGACAGCTGCAGTGAGAACTAAAATGTGATGAGAGTAGGTTACTGAGCAAGCGTTTACAGAAATACAACTGGAACATTTACATCTTATGTCCTAACTCCAAACTACTGAAGCTTTAAAATAAACTGGATTATAATAAACCCAGACATTAGAACCTGTAAGAAGGAACAGTGTTTGTCCTGAGGTTCTCCGTGTAACACCGAGATCAGGATGTGCATTACCTTCACATAATAGTATCTGAGGGCTCGGCTGAGTTTGTCGTAATTCATGTTGGGCTTGTTCTTGCGAATCCCCCAAAGACGAGCCACCTCTTCTGCCTGCAGAAGCTTGAACTCCCCATTGTTAGAGGTCCAGCAGATCATGTGCTCATTCTGAGGCTCCTGCAGGAGCTGAAGAAGGAACTGCCACAGGGTGATGGCACTGTCCATAGCAGTGGGCTGGAAAAACATAGATATGTGATTATTAATGAATTTAACACCGTGTCAGGCACTGTTTTACATGCTCTAAGTGTACTGATTCATTTCTTATCCACAACACTCCTATCCTGTAAGAGAGATACTTTTCCAACTTGTTTTTACATATGAAAAAACTGACTGGTAAATAGGGAAAGTAACTTGTCCAAGGTCACACAAGCAAATGGTGAAGCTGAGATTTAAGTTCAGGCAATCTGGGTCCAGAGTCCAAGATCTTAAGCATGCCACACTGCTACAGGGATCTTAGGCAACAAGGAACTTGGCAAGGAAGATAAAGCTAGTTCCATAAACTACAGGCGCACATTGAGAGTACAAACTACTAGAAAATAGTATTAAATTTTACCTTAAAGTCTCATTGTCATATTCTCCCGGAAGACCACCATTTCAATATGTACCTACCTAAATCAGCCCAGTTTGCCGATATGTGTCTCAGGGTGGCCTAGAGGCTGAGGTGTAGGGAATAATCAAAACTACTTTTTTCCAACTGGTATTTCTCCTCCAAATAGTATACATCACCATAAGTGTAATTTACATACAAATTGGCAGCTCTGAGAACTCAATAAAACGTTCCCTGATTTAATTTACAAGTTCTGTTACAGTTTTGTCTACAGGGATTCTATCTACATTAGATTCTCCTTCTATTTGATTAGCAACCCTTATCCCTTATTTGATTAGTAAGACAGGAACTGAAAAATCCTTCAATACCTGAAGTTTCCAGATCTCCCCTTTCAGGCTAGAGTTTCTCAACTTCAGCATTACTAACTGTTAAGGTCAGATAACTGTTTTGGACTTTGTCCTGTGCACTGTAATTTGTTCAACAGCACACCTGGTCTCTACCCCCTGGACACCAGCAACACCCCCTGCCCAAATGAGACAGTTAAAAATGACTCCAGTCTCTGCCAGGTGTCCCCTGGGGGTCAAAATCACCTGGGTTGATAACCCCTTTGGCAATGGAGCAGCAAGGAAATGCTCTCACAAGAGTATTTTCCTCATAGAACTCCAAAATACTCAATCTACTAGAAAGAATTCTTTAAAGGCAGAAGTTCTGGCCAAATAGATATAAGCTCATCCTAAGAAATCTACACTGAATATCTTCATACATAAAAAGAAAACAAAAACCTTCCTTTCTGTAAGAATATGATCTCAATGGATCAAAATAGAGTTTAAAAGAAACCAAATTAAATCAATTCCATGAAAACACTATAGGGCTGGGATGTAGCTCAGCGGCAGAGTGCTTGTCTAGTCTAGTGTGCACAAGGCCCTGGGTTGGATGGAGGGAGCTACATAAACAGGTAACTTGTGCTGCAAACAACACATCAAGTGAGAAGACTGTCCCCAAAATGGGAGAAAATACTTTCAAATCATGCATCTCAAAAGGAACTTACATCTGACATACATAAAGAACTCTTACAACTTGAAAAAAAAATTTAACAGCAAAGGAAGTGAAAAGATGTTTCTCCAAAGATATGTAAATAGCCCATAAATCCATGAAAAGATGCTCAACATCATTAGTCCTTAGGGAAATGAAAAGCTAAGCCACACAAGAACCCACTTATACCTTCTAGATGGTAATAATAAAAAAGACAAGACAATAACAAGTGTTGGCAAAGGTGTGGAGAAATTGAAGCCCTCACACACTGATGGTAGAAACATCAGCCACATCAGTTTACCATATGAACCAGCAGCTCCACTCCTAGGTATATACCCAGGAGAATGAAAAATAAATGTCCATACAAAAACTTATACAGGAATGTCCACAGCAGAATTATTCATCATATCTAACAAGTAGAAACAACTCAAATCTCCATAAATAAATGTGGTGTTATTCATAAAGTGGGGTATCATTCAGTCATAAAAAGGAATGATGTACTGATACATGGATGGACCTTGGAGTTTATGCAAGAAGCCAGCCACAAAAGACCACGTAGTGCATGACCCCACTGATATGAAATGTCCAGACTAGGCCGGTCCACAGACAAAGTAGATCAATGTTGTTAAGGGACAGGGTGGAGGAGGGAGTGGGGAAGGAAATGGGGAGCAACAGCTAATGAATACAAGGTTTCTTTTTGGGCAGCTGAAAATATTCTGAAGTTAGATTGTGTGGTGGTAGCTGTACAACTATGTACATATACTAAAAACCACTGAACTGTATACTCTGCATGTGAATTTCAAGGTGTTTGAATTACATCTCTATAAAGATGTTTAACGCTGCCTGCCTCGCAACCCCAAGGTCCCGAGTTCAATCCCTGGTATCAAAAAGAAAAAAAAAAAAAGGGCAGAGATAAGGAACTCTAGTGGAAAACAGCTAGGTTTCTGTAGCTTTTCTGAAGCACATGAAATGTCTCCCAGTAATCTTCAGTTATCACTTTGAGGCAGATCACAGAGATGCTGTCACTCAAAAGTAGATGGGAAAACAGTAAGACTAGAAAGGAGAGCTGCCCAGAAGCCGAGCGTCCTTCATTAGCCCTACACTCCATTTACCAGGGAAACCTCTTTACTAGGATGAAAGTAAACCTGTTGATTTGAAAGTATTTTAGATGCTAAATGATAATACACAAATAAAGAGCTACTTAATGCTAAATAACTATGCCCACTAGAATTCAATATCCTAGCCTCAACGGGGTTAAAGTAGTGGCTATCATGACACCATTAAATGTGGGGCAAGTTTAGTTTCCTGTCATTTTCCTGAGTTTACCAGATGGACCTTTTCTCTGACAATATCTATTCACGGCAAATTATTTTTACTACATAATTTTCCCATTTAAACAATTATTTGCTAATCGAAGCCCATTAAAACTACTCCTCGGTAAACACGGCCTTAGTCAGAGGTCAATTTCCACATTTCCAACAATCAAGGACATTTGTGGGGCAGGGGAGGAATGTATGGGTGTGAAGGGTGATGGAAGACAGACAGAGACTTGAGATCCCCAGACTATTGAAAACATGATCGCAATTCCATTTGTTTTTGGAAAAATTCTGAAACCCAAATCTTGGAATCTTAACACCTATCCTGTAGAGTATGTTTGGGTCCTACAGCTTTCAAACAGCAAAGCTGCAGAATTGAAAAGACAAAGCAGAAAATATTAACATCTCCACAAAGCTCACACGTGTGCCGTCCTGAGCAAACAAGAGCTCAGATCAAAGCATGGGCACCTCCAGGGTGGTGCAGCAGCATGGATGGAGTCGTGTGCAGGTGACCTGGGGACAACCCTGACAGCTGTGGACAACAGCACTGCCTCTGGCACAGAACAGTTCGTCTAGCAGAGAAGGCTGCTGCCAGGAAAAGAAAAAGGGTACTGTAGCTTTGCCTGGGGTACTGGAAATGAATTTTCTTTTGAGAAAACGTAACAAAGGCATAAAATGGAATTCTTCAGTGGATACTTCAAAAGGATAGCCCACTATTTTTTATTTTTGGGGGTGTCCACTGTTTGTGTGTGTGTGGTGCCAGAGCTTCACATGCTAACACACGGGCATGGGGGCGCACGCCTATAGTCCCAGCACTTGGGAGTCTGAAGCAGGAGGATCACTGCGAGTTTGAGAGCAACCTGGGCTGCATAGTGAGTTCAAGGCCAATCTGAACAACATGGTGAAACCGTGTCTCCAAAAAAAAAAAAGAAAGAGAATGAGAACATGCTAACATGCACTTTAAGGGTCAGGGATTTAGCTCAGTGGCACTGCTCCTGCCTTGAAAGTGTAAGGTCCTGAGTTCAATCTCCGGTACGAGAGGAAAAAAAAACCCCGAAACTCTAAAATGCACTCTACTGTACAGCTATGCTCTTAGCCCCAATTTATTTATTTATTTGTTTGTTTAGGAATGAGTCTTGCTGTGTTGTTCAGGTTGGCCTTGAACTCACTAGGCAATCCAGGCTGGCCTCAAACTCACAGCAACCCTCCTGCCTCGGCCTACCCCAGTGCTGGGATTACAGGAGTGTGTACTAGGTTCCCAATTCAATATCAGCTTTTCTCTCAACTGAAAAGCTGGTGAACTCCTGAGTATGCAGCTAAGTTGAAACTCTTCAATTTAGTAGTAATGTATTTCAATGATTTCCTCAGCCATAAAAGAGAACTAAAGGAAAAAAATTCCAGGAGATAATAATTTAACATTCCAAATGTAAAAGAGTTAAAAATACACACTTTTTATTCTCATTACATATAAGCCAACATGTATACTGTATCAGAAAACACTTGATTTTCCCTCTCACAAATCCCAAGTTTACTACAATTAGTTTTGGCAAATTTAAAAAAAATATAATGGAGAAAAATACTTAACTAATGTAAACGAAGGAATCTGATTTTTGAGGAATTAAATTCTGAAAACAGCCGATTCTACTTTAACACTTCAAAGAAAAATCAATTCCTAAGCTAGCCTGAAAGGGCTGGGAGAGTAGTTCAGGGGTACAGCGCTGGCCTACATTCTCCAGGCCCCAGATTCAATGCCCCGACCCTCCAACCCTATTACACCCCCGAAAAGGAGAAGGGAGCCATGTTGTAACTTGTGAGAGAAAGGAAGACGCCATTAAACGAACCTCTTTCATGCTAAACATGTTTATAATACACACAGTCCAGTTGCTGTGGTGACCTATGGCCCAACTACTTTTCAGAGACAGTAACTAAGACCTGAAAAAACCTCTCATTTCTTCAGCATGCTGTTTAAATGAAACCTTATTACAAAATGAATCAAAACTAGCTTATCAACATAATCATCGTTATCGAAAAACAACTAGGCATAACTAACTGCTGCACAACATTATAGAAAATATTAAATGGTGTATGTTTCTTTTTCCTGTCTCTTTCTTTTTCCTGATGCTGGGAATCAAACCCAGGGTCCTGCACAAGCACGGTACCACTGAGCTACAACCCCAACCCCAAAGTACAGTTAAATTACAAAAACACTTGAGACTATTTCCCAAAGAATGTGAAGGACTCCAGTTACAAAGTTTTAATATTTAAATAAAACCAAAGAGGAGAGAGTTCCTGAAGGAGAAAAACTGAATCATACATTTTAACAACAACATCACTGCCAGCCTTAAGTGCAGAAGCACCAAGTTTTCCACGCAGGGTGGGGTGGGGTGGGGTGGGGTGGGGTGGGGCGTAGAGCTTCTCCCGCACAGGACAAAGCTCCGGAATCTTTAAATGCCCTAAACGTCAAGGAGCAATAGCTGGGGAAACGCCAACCGTGTATCTCTGGACGACTTTTGTCCATAACACCCCTCCGCTCCGCTCCGCTCCGCTCCTGCCAGTGCCTGTTAACATTCCGCCCCCAAAGGCTGCATGTTTCCAACTGATCTGCTAGGTAGGAATGAAGTCGCGCTCGGCCCGGCCGCAGTTGTGCCCTCGAGCAGAAAGTAAAGGTGGAGGAGGCTGCTGGCGAGAAGTGGAAAAAGAAATGAAACTTGACACCGGATGAACGGCGAGTTCGGGAGAGGAAGAAACACTGGTGACCGTGCGCCCCAGAGGAGCTCAGAGTCCGGGGGCAGAGGCGCAACCTCAAGGGCCTTGGCGAACCCTCAGCGACTGTACTTTCATTTCCCAACTTCCCGTCATTACACAAAGTCGAGGCGCTCCCCTCTGAACCACCCACGCCACAAAAACCGCCGCCGCCACCACCGCCACCGCGGGCCCCAGGGACCTCGCGGGACCCCGGGGACGGGGACAGCGGGGCGGCGCGCCCCCGCCTCCACCTGCGCGGAGCGGCACGCGGCTGCCAGAGGCGGGTCCCCAGGGAGCGCGCCCGGCCCGCCCCGCGGCCGCGCGCTTCCGGTTGCACCGCGAGCCCCTCGCCCCCGCGCCCGGGCCCGGGGCGGGTGGCCGCTCACCCAGGCCGCGCGCGGGGCTCCCTCTCGGTCCCGGCCTCCAACGCGATGCTTCTGCCCGCCTGCAGCTCCTCCTCACGCTGGGAACTCGAGGGCGGCGCGGCAGCCGCGGCGACTCCCGCGGCAGAGCCGGAGAAGACGGCGGCGGCCGAGCCGAGCCCGCCGGGTGCCCGCAGCCGCCTGCATCTCCCGCCGCCGCGAACAACTCCTCGCGCGCCCGCCTTCCGCCCCCGTACGCGGCGGCGGTGGCAGCGGCGGCGCGGGTCGTCGGGCCGCTACCCGCCAGGCGCGCGCTCGGGGCGTGTTCGTGGCCGCAGTCCGGCCTGGCCGTCGCTCCGCGGCCGCCGCCACTCTCAAACCCCCCGGCCGCGGAGGGGCCCCTCCCAGACTCCGTAGCCGGCGCGCGTCACTTCCGGGACGGGGGTGGGGCCGTGGCTCCCAGGGGCTCCGCGAGTCGAGACGGCCGCCACCCCGTTTCTGGGGGGCCTGGGGTGCGGGCTTCCGCGCAGCGACGGCGCCCCCTGGGGTTCCCTACTTTCTCTCTCCCCACTTGTGCAGTTGCTTCTGCGTCCAGAAGGCGCCCGTAGGAACCTATGGGATCAAAGCCGGGCTTCGGGGTCCCCGAACCCAGGGAAGAGGACGGTCGCCCCGCAGCCAGTCGGGGCCGGGAGGGCGCTCCTTTGCTGCCGACCTCAGCTGCGAGGCGGTACCTCCCACCGCCAGCGGCCCACCATCTCCCTCGCTGCGTGGCCCGAGATGCTGTTGGCCTCAAGGGTTTCCCGTGGACGTGCTAGATCCAGGACACCCACGACCTGCTAGCTCTCAGTAGCTCTCGGCCCGGCTGCCGACAAATGGAAACTCTGGTGCTGGAGATGGAAACCCGGAATTCAGTCGTGGCTCTGCCGCCCACTAACTGGAGGACTTTAAGCGACTTTCTTAACCTGTCTGAAACACAAGTTCATCTGTAAAATGATAGAAGAGCACTCAGTCTCCTAGAGTTGCAATGATTAAAGAAAGGATAAGGTACATAAATCAGCTAGCCGAGTTTCTAGCTCACAGTTTCTCCTTAACATAATTCTTAAAGACTTTTTCTTAAGGTCACACTTATTACAAGAAGCTACTTAAACAATTTAGCAGCAGAAGGGATGTAGAATCACTAAGCTGGAACTGCTAAACAAAACCCTCAAGAAATAGATTGTGTATTCGATTTCTCTGGAAGCTGGATGGGCCAGTATCTGAATTACTGGTTGTCCCTGGCCATTTGCCAGGTTTGTAACCTTCAGTGAGTTGATTGACCTCTGAACTTGAGGTCATGTAAAATGAAGATGATAATGTGAGGCATTGTTGAGAGGATTAAATGAAATACAAAACGTAAGTGCTTCAGTGCATTACCTGGCGCATAATAGGGACTCAGTAAAAGATACTGATAGTTCTTTGTGTTTATCCCCTCTCTCCCACAGTTGAATTCGTGGTTAAAGTTAATTGAACTCACTAAGTGAAATGTGATCCTATCATCCTTTTGGTATTTGGAAGACAATCTACTTCCTATGTTTTCCAAAGACCTCTATAATTCAGAGTAAATTCGTGCATGTGGGTAGTGCACACCTGTAAACCCAGCACCCGGGAGGCTGAGGCAGGAAGATCACCGAAGTTCGAGGCCAGCCAGGGCTACATAATGAATTCAAGGCCAGCCTAAACTATATGGTGAGACGTCTCAAAAAAATTTTTATATACAATGATAGCTAATACAGGTAGCTATTCCAGTAAAAGCAACTTTACCAAAAGATAATAACTTTTCAAAAATAACTTTACTAAAACTTGTAAACATTTTTATTAAGAAATACATGTTTTGGAAGGGCCGAGATGTAACTCAGAGGTAAAGCACTTGCCTAACATTCTCAAGGATGGGTTTCAACCCCAGCACTATGTACACATGCATACACACACACACACACACACACACACACACACACACACTTTCAAAGGACTACGAAGTATCTGAAAAGCACTAGCAATCCTGACCCTGCCCTATATAAAGTTTTCCCTGCAATGCCTCCCATTTCCCTGCAATGACTCTTAGAAACCAAAAAGAGGAAATAAGATTAAAGTAGACATTTAAAAAATACCCTTCGAGAACGTTTGTTTATTGAGAAATGTAAAGTTCTAGACCAAGAACAGTTAAGGACTGTGAAGACCTACGGACTTCCGTGCTGTGCCCGAACTAGCAGGAAACCTCAGATCCAGCCTCAGGCCAAGAGTTGTGCCTCCTCTTCACACCGAGCCTACTGTATTGTCAATTACAATGTATTTTTGGAAAAGAGCCTGCTTTGGGAGCTCTTAAATTAGTCATAGCAAGTCTGTCTGCTTTTAAACAGACTCCTTTTTACCCCCTAATACATGTTGACAGCAGAGAAACCAGAAGAGTGGATTTGGAATTAGAGACCTGGGGGTGGGCGAGTTGATTAATGTGCCTGTTTTTCCCACTCCGGAGTCTGTAAATACATAATCTCTCCATGGTTCTTCACACAACAGATGGTTCTGTTTTTACAGACCTCACAATGATGATGATGTTGGTCAACCAGAAAGACTGCTTTTTTAGCTCGTTCGGTCATTTTCCCACCAGAGAGATAGATGCCCAGTATTAGCCTTAGCTACTCAGGGCTGTCCCAGATAAAATTGTAAACTTTACTAAAATGTAAATGAATAGAGGTTGGCCGTTCAGCAGGACAGCCTGGATCCATGTTTCACCAAGTGGAAGAATGAAGTTGAGGGCAAAGGGGGTAGACAGGAGCAATGTTTAGTAAGAAGAGACAAATAGCTCCTCCCAAAGTGGGTTGCCACAGGGACTCTGTTTAGGGGTTTTCATACCAGAAAATGACCAGGGCTCAGACCACTTGGAGTCAAACTGAAGTCAAGCCATAGGACTAAAACAAACTCACTTAAATTAGAAATGGGCTATGAGGAGTCAGGCACGTAGCAAGTGTATGTCTGCAGGTGCCGCTTGGCCTCTATCCTGAGTGGTTTATTAAAAGAACAAAGTGAAAGGGAGAAAGCATTTTCCAGATAGGTAGGAGCAGAGGTTGTTAGAGTGAGCATCCATCACCTTGCTTGTTACCTTGCTTGTTTTTTCTTGTTCTTTTTAAATTTGTTCATTTTATTTATTCATTCAACAACCTTGTTTTGTTTTGAGACAGGGTCTCACTATGTAGTTCAGGCTGGCCTCAAAATCACAGCAATCCTCCTGCCTCTGTCTCCCAAGTGCTAGGATCACAGGTGTGCGCCACCAGGCCCAGAACCTTCCTTGTTACATCCCAGGACTTAATTGTCTATCTGGCTCCTGTTAACCCTCGACCTCAGGCTCCTGCTTATCTGACCAAGGCCTAGTCATCCTGACTCTGTCTTGGGGCCAGTCTCTTCCTAGCTGCCTGTGACTTTCTACCTAACTTGCCTGTCTATAGTCCTGGGTCCTTACCTCTGGCTCTCCTTAAATTCAAAATTTGATGCTCCTGAGAAAATCTTTATGATATCTTTTTATTTTCAACATCCTTAGATATAAACAAGACACATACTTGTAACCTACCTGTAATGGATAGGAAAAAAGTGGTTAATTGAAGCCAGGCATGGTGGCCCATGCCTGTAATCCTAGCACTCTGGGAGGCTGGACAGTAGGATCACAAGTTCTAGTCCAGCCTGGGCAATTTAGTAAGACCCTGCTGGAGATATATAGCTCAGTACAAAAGCCCTGAGCTCTTGATAAGTAGTCCTATAGACATTACATTCATGTGGGCTAAAATCTTGGATAGAAGAAAAGTAATCCTTGAAAATAAAATGCTGGCTAGCTGTGTGTTAAATCTGGAAGCATTTGCAAACTTCACTACTACCGGTCAAGGCACTAAAATTGGCCAAATATAACCAACAAAATGTGGTCAGAAATATCTTTTGCCATGACACTTATTCTGGGTGAGGAAGTTTCATTCTCAATAATAAAACCTAGACAATATTCAGGGTGCAGAGACAATCTCATTAGAAAGGCCCTCAACCAAGGTACTTCTGGCCTCTGGACTGTGAGGTAAGTTCATAGCGATGTGGGTCATCCACACCTGTGATCTTGTACACATCATTTTCCCGGAGAGGACCTGACAAGGACTCGAATTACTGCAAGTTAAGGCCTAGGGCATAGCAACTATCCAACACACTTTATGACCCGTCACACACACAGCTCAGAAAATCTTTGAATCTTTGGTCTCTATACCCAGTCTTCCTTTCCCTCCCTGCTTCCTGCCCTCCCTTCCTTCCTTCCTTCTGTCCGTCCTTCCTTCCTTCCTTCCTTCCTTCTTTGGACTGAGCTACATCCCAGCTCTTTTTGATTTTGAGCCGGGGATTTAGCTCAGTGGTTCTGGCACCTGCTTTGCAAGCACAAGGTCCCGAGTTTGATCCCTGGTACCAAAAAAAAAAAAAAAAGAAAACAGAAGTACCTTTTTGATTTTGAGACAGTCTCCTGAAATTGCTAACTGCTCAGGCTGAGCTCAGATTTGCAATCCTCCTGCCTCAGCCTCCCAGAGTGCTGGGATTACAGGTGTCCAGTTCCTCAACCTTCCACACTCAATTTACTTCTTTCTTCCATTAATATTTTTAACTCACTTCTCTGAACCTTTAAAAAAGTATAGGGCCAGGGATTTACCTCAGTGGTTCTGGCACTTGCCTCACAAGCGCAAGGACCTGAGTTCGATCCCTGGTACCTCCCCCCAAAAAAGTATGTACTAGCAAAAGAGGACTTAGCACTCTACTTCTGATGAGATTGGAGATTGGGCACATTCAAGGTGCCATGGCCATAGACAGCACTATTTCTAACGGTCCTTTGGAAGAGATGGCCCCTAATTGACAAAAGCTCGTGAAATCCAGGTCTTATGTCAGTGTCGAAGATTTTGGGTGGTTGAACCAACTTCTTGCAGGATACATATTGGTCTGAATTTTAAGCCAAAAGTATTTTATTTTTACCTCTTGTGTGTCTTATAATCACTGGCTAGAAAATTTTTCTTCTTCAATTAAAAATTCAGGGGCCAGGGATTTAGCTCAGTGGTGTAGCCGCCTGCCTCAAAAGCACATGGCCCTGAGTTCAATC